AAAGAAAAATGAGGTAGACAGAAAAGAAGGAAAAGTGTACAAAAATTTAATACGAAATTAATATTCACATAGTAATCATTTTCAAAAGGGCAAACAAACTACTAGTATTCCAGTATAGCTCCTCCCTTGACTTCACAGAAGCCACTCCTCTGATCTGTCTGCACACTTCAATAGTTACCAGTTCTAGAATATGCTGTTTCTGTTTGGCCTCCACATACCAATATCAACATTCAAATGTTAGAAAAGTTACGAGCGAAATTTCTGATATTAGTCCCCTTCAGCAGATCTGTTCGCAAGGTTTTTTAAAAACAGATTGCCATCATGCAAGAAGAAATATGACTGATGTATTTATCAACGGCATCTTAATAATAATATTGAAGCCCTACAATTGTTACGACACCTCAATTTCAAGTCCCATCTGTCCACACCCACACCACAGGAAAACGGTATTTTATCAATTTTTCCGAACCAACTACACTTCTCTCTCTGACACTCTCCCCCCTCTCTCTCACCCATATACAGGATGATAGATCTAATCAATATGCTACCCAGCAGTATAGATAAAAATATCTAAAGCAAGTTTGAGGTGGTATTTGAGAGGAATTTATACAACAATCAATTAGGGATATCTGGTGTACATAGATAATGCTAATTTTTTCCCATCCACCACCTTGCCGAAACTTAGGGAGACCGCGGACCACGCCAAACTAAAAGCTGGGGGTGTGAAACTGAAAAAGGGGAAATATTTGGGCTTTTCGTATTCCTCGGGCCTTGCCCTATGAATAATGTGGATATGTAAACATATGCCTGAATGAATATGTGTGTTCATACATACTGGTGTATTGTATACATATGCGTGTGTATAATTATACATTTTATTATTTTTATTATTTCCAGTGTTTAATATTTCAATGATTTTTAATGTTTTTTATCTTTTTGTAATTATTGTATTAAAATTAGCTATTGTCTACATAAATAATTTTTTCTTCGTTTATAACGTCTGTGTTCTATCGTTTATCTTAACTACTCAAAAGTGTACATTCTGTCCGGAAAAAAAGATTGAGCATATTTAAGAGTTAAGAATGCGCAGGACGTGATCTTTTAAAACACTTGTTTAAACACTGTATCCAAGCAAGTTCATGAACTGTTGTGTAGATTTTGTTCACAATAGATTGTCTATCGTTCACCGATTCGCTTTTTGTTCCGGCTTCACACCATATCGGCGGGTATCTTTCGTTCTTTTATGTCCCTTATTCGCGTCTGACAAAGAACGAATAGCGAGAAAAAGCGGACTCGTGAATCTAGAGGACGTTTCCCATCGATTCGTTTAAAATATGCAAATAAATTATTTGCCATTTTCACGGAATTTGTTTTACTTGAAGTTGTTGAAAATTAAAGATTTTTAAAATGGAAACTAAAGGAAAGAAAAAATATATAATAACTTACCATAAACATAAAACTGTTCAGGTCATCTTTGTTTAATAAATGGGCATATCATGGAAAGACGAACCACCATTAAGACTTGGGAATTATCTTTAGTTTCGATATACCTTTCCAATTGTATATTGATTAGATTTGCAAACGGTTTGGTCAATCGCTTAGTTTTATAAGAAGGGAAAAGGAAGTTCAAAATCATTCCATAATAAAACTACTATTTTGTTCAATGTTCAGAACATTTAAATATGGCTCTTTAGTTTGGTCACTATATTACGATACCTACATTCAGGCAATCGAAAATGAACAAAGGAAAATGCTAAATACAATAGTAAACTGAAGGATTGATTTCCACTGTTTAAGTATACCGTATGACAACACTAAAATTTCCTTCTTTACAGTCTCTATGTTTTATTTATTTTCCTTTTCGAAATCCTAAATAAACATATCGACTCGTTTTCTCTACTTGTTATAAAAAACCTAAACCTCTTCCTTCACTAAGACATAATAATCTCTACAATCTACCTTACGTCAAACAAAACTACCTACTTAATAGAACTCACCTACGACTTAAGACAGGGAACTCTCTATTGCTTATATTTCATTGCTAGTGCGAAGCTTTCGACTTATTTAAAGGTAATCATCAGGGCAAAACAACCTTATTTCTAAAGATTGACATACTTAAGTTCTTACGGGCGATCTCAAATTTTCTTCGAGACTGACTCCTTAATTGCTTGAACTGTTTAAGGATTAAAGGTTCATAAACTTATATAATATGACTTCAATGACCATGACGTTTGTTACCTTATGAAGGTATGATCTTGAAGTAGAATGCAAATTTAGTTGCCAAGCTTTCGACGTATTTTAGTCGGTCTTCAACGAAATTTGAGATCATCAGTAAAAACTTAAATGTCAATCTGTAGACATATTTAGGATTGTTTTGCCCTGATGATGACCTTAAAGTAGGTCGAAAACTTGACAGTAGCATCTAAATTTGTTTTCTTCTTCAAGCCCATAACTTGATCCAGAGGATTCGTAAATATTCTCATTTATTCCATGTATATTGTTTACATCTTTATTACTTTATTCCTTCCTATTATTATTATTATTAATCTTTTTTAATATTTATTTCGTATAATTTCCTTATATTTTATGTTTCCTGGTTAGCTAGCTGCCATGACTTTTGCCAGTTATTTCTTTTCAGACATTTTTGTATATTTATATTTATTTTTGGGGGGATTGTTTAACCCGCTCCGACTAATACCAAGTACTGTTTATGTTAATTTATTATAATAACTATTCGGAAATCGGGAGATGCGGTCTGGTGTGATGTAGGTTTCAGAAAAACATTTTCTTTATCGTGCCAATGTTTCGATCTTTATTGAGATCATCTTCAGAGCCTGGGATTTACAAACATTGTTTAAATTTAAAAAATACATGTAGGATGTGGAAAAAAGTGAATTTATACAATGCACAAAAATATATATTTTTTATATTCAATCAAAGTATTTCTACTCACTCAAAGACACTTGTCTTTCTATACCGACTTCCTTCCCCACCCCTTCAAAATTCAACGTATATAAACATAAAACAGCAATATCTCACTGACACTCTCAACACGACACGCAAGAATGGCACAATTAAGCAGAAAACAAACACATTGAGTGAGTAGAAATACTTTGATTGAATATAAAAAATATATATTTTTTTGCATTGTATAAATTCACTTTTCTCCACACCCTACATGTATTTGTTAAATTTAAACAATGTTTGTAAATCCCAGGCCCTGAAGATGATCTCAATAAAGATAGAAACGTTGGCACGATAAAGAAAATGTTTTTTCTAAAACCTACATCACACCAGACCGCATTTCACGATTTCCTAATAATCATCGACTAACGGTCACTAATCATCACACATATTATAATAACTATAATTTATTGGCGTGAAAGAAAGGGGTTGTTTAACCCCGCCCCGAGAAATATCGAATACTCTGGGATAGTGAATATGACCCCACTTAAATATTTGTGGTGATATACCTATATGTATGTATTGTATGTTTTCTCTGTAGTTGACAACCTGAGGTACAAACGAGAGGCTAGCATTCTACAATATCGACTTACAAGTTGACGACCCGGTTGGTGGGACACGGATTTGGTCTTATTTATTTATCGTAATTTATATATTTATATTTATAAATCGTTATTTATACATTTAAAAAAAATATTTTTGGTGTGTTAATTTCATTGTTGGTTAACATAAAAACATAAACGTTCTCCATAGAATATTTGGCATGACTTAAAAAGATAAATCAACAAAATAATCCTTTTGTTGCATATTTCAACAGCCATTCTGTAATGAAAGTACGTCAGAAAATGGTCAAAACTTGGATTTTATCTCATTGTCGTGATTCTAGCGTTGTAAAACCATTAGATACCGACTTTCGTGGAAATCTGTGTAAATTAACTTTTTGACTGATAATTTCGACCACCGATTTTCATAGTTCCTGGTTCGTACAGACATTAACATCAAACATTAAAATCGAATTATTATTTCCATTAAAAAAAATAATAATTTTGCTATTTTGTGCATTTTCTTATAGAAATATTTTATATATTTTAATGGTATATACGTCTTTAAAAAGCTACTTTCCTCTTCTTTCAAATTGTGTGTTTAATGTTAAAATCCTTTGAGTGGTTTTGAATTATAGAAGTTTCACGACTTCTCAAAAATCTAAAACAATTTAGAATTCAAAAAATCGATAAATTCAAATTCCAACAGAAATTTCTTTCTAGGGGTCTCTAGAGGTGCTAAAACGAAATTTTAAATAGTTTCACGGAAAAAAATTATTACCTAGTTTACTTGAAAAATATTTGGTTTTTAGACATTTTTTGGTTATCGATAAACTTTGAAATACTATATTTTCATTGCAATCTACATAAAAAATACTGTAAAACGATATATTCACATGGTTAATTTGAGCAAGTAGAAAGGGGAAATAAAAATATTAACAAAAAGAAAACTATGCACTGACGCCCCTAGCCCGTATTATTATTATTATTATTGTAATATATTTTCTTTAAATTTTGTTGTAACATCAATCTTTTGTATTACACATGTTAATTGTTAACTGCCACTATAAAAAATAAATACATAACTTAATGAAATGAGCGGAAGATAAAGGTGCGCATGTGCAATAATTGTTATCTGAATACATATTATAAGTGAACTAATTAGTTGTTTTTTTTTTAAATCTCTGTTTATTTGTAGTGTAATTGATCTCTTTATCACCTGGGGGACTAATCATTCAAGTTGTCGGAAATATTTCCTAGCTATCCCTTCAAAATTAACTACAAAACAAAAACCGATATATATTTTTTGTTAATGTTTGGAAAGAAGTGAGATACTTTTGACAGATTATTCTGATATTAGTAGAAGAGTTTTTTGGGGAATTTTTATGAATAATTTCAATTTTTTTCGAGTAATAATAGAAATAAAATAGAAAATTGAGTAAAGAGATATTCAAAATGACGTGAAATGAGCGGAAGTTCGTGGCAACCGCCGTTAGGGGAAGCGCCATGAGCAGCCCAATCCTTAACACCAAGTTTTGACTAATCTGTTATCTTTACATTCTTTTAATTAATTATTTCCTCAGTTAATCGTGTACCATTTGACCTCTTGTCTATCGGGTCCACTTGTGCACACTTCTATTTCTATGTGTACGCGTGTCTAGTCTGTTATTTTTTTTATCATCTTTATAACGAATGAACAGGTAACTAGATTATTTTTATTCTTTTTCTTTTTCTCCTTTAATCTTATCGTTACCTCAACTCTTCGGAATAGATTTATATTTACAGATTGTTGACAGATGCCACCGTCCTGACTAAAAGTCGGATTTGTTTACGTATGCTTTTGTGCTATTTTACGTACCATTTGGCCATTAGGGATATTACAATTCTGGAAGCATATTGTTCTTATTCTTGTTGTCAATATTGTTGGAATTACACTTTATTGCATACTGTACATGTATTGACATAAGATAGCTCTTGCAAATAATAAATTTGAAGTAAATCTAATAAGTTTGGGTTCTTGCTATCCATTACAATTGGGAAAAAGTGTTTTCGTTTTTACATTATTTCTTCCTGGCATGGGTACGTGGCCATTCGGGACATAGAGGTAATGAGAAAGCAGATATGTTGGCTAAAAAAGGAGCCAATATGAATTTTTCGGCCTGGAACCCTATTGTGGCCTAGCACCTTGCCTAAAAAAAAGGTACATCCAATGGATCTGGAGAGTAACCAGAACAGAACCAGGATTCTCTGGTTGGACTCCTGACAGGACACTGCCACCTAAGGTACATACATCGAACAGGAGTACTGACAGAAGAATCACTGTGCAGATACTGCCAGGAAGAAGAGGGAGACTTTAGGACACGTTTTATGTTTCTGATGTTTCTGTGAGGGTTTATGTAGGTGTAGATTGCTGCAATTAGGAGAGGGAAAGCCACAAGCAAGATCCTAAGGATCCATACGGCTATGGAAGTTGTTTAACGACCTAAAGCTAGCCAGTGATTTATAAAATTAGAGCAGTACAATAGATCTACTCAGGCTGAGATGCAGAAGGCCTTGTGGCCACCTCTTTTATCCCTATCCCCTAAATTATTATTACACTTGATGGAACAATACCCTAGGCATGAAGCACATAGAGATACATAGAAGAACCATTCACAAGATTTATAAAAGAATTACTGAAGGGACTGCAAAGAACTGGGATTCTGCTTGGACTACAGGGCACTGCTGCCTAAGAAATGCTGTGCAGATACTGCCAGGAAGAAGAGGAGACGGCAGAACATGTTTTATGTTTATGTGAAGGTTTATGCAGGTTAGATTCCGGCAACTAGGAGAGGAAAAGCCACAAACAAGATCCTAAGGAGCCACTGGCAAGGATATGGAGGTTGATTAAAAACTTGAAGTTAGCCAGCGATTTATAAAATTAGAAGAGCACAGAAGATCTACTCGGGTTGAGATGCAGAAGTCCCTATCCCCTACATTATTATTACACTTTTATGTAAAAAGAGGATAAGAAATATTGTGCTTTTGTGAATGAAGTGAAACAGAAAAAAGGAAAACAAGTTTTTGCTTTTAATGAGCATATAGGTCAATGTTACAAAGAGAGTATAAATTATTAAACTATCAATTTTTTTAGAAATTGATTCTCATTAGAACATGTTGCTTACTATCTCTCAAAGCCTTATGATTTATTTTCTTTATTATAACACATTTTAATTCTTTATGTTCAGGTGGCGCATGATGGAGGCTAAATCGGCTTCATCTGACATTATGATTATCCATGGAAACTCGCATCCAGAGTTGGCAAATTTAATAGCGAGGTACATGTCATTTATTTTATTTTGTACAGCTAAAACGGTGAAAAAAAAGCAAAAAAAAAAGATGGATGATCAATTGGAAATTAACGAAAGAAATGAATTTGATTTTTTAAAACATGGCATATTTAAAAGCAACTGTGTCAAAATTTCAAGTTAATCGACCAACTACATTTCGCGTTTTGTGAATTGTTATATGTATAAATATACAATAATAATTTATTAACAACAAAAAGAAATGTATATAAAAAAATGTAAATTAACATTATACTGTCTGCAGATGTCCTTATACTGCACAAGATTATTAGTTGTAGAGTGGCTCTTAATAAATCCATCTTGTTAACTAATAGTTACTGGTGTGACAGATGGAGTAAAGATGTCAGCTGCCAATGATTCAAAGACCTTAGCACTAAAATGAAGTTTCCAAATGGGGTGATAGTTGACTATATTCATTTTACCTCCCTTCTTATGAATGGGTACAATTGTACCATGTTTCCAAGCTGATGAGAAGACCACCTACCACAAATTTGTTGAAAATTATGCATAAAAGCAAAGCCTGGGCACTGCAGCACACAGCTAGATAAATTGTAGTGATACCATCAGTACATGGTTTCACACGATATTTTAGTCCTTTTAATTTACACACAACTTATTCAGGATTGATGCCAATATCATATTTCAAAATGTGCTAACTGTATTATTGTAATATATTACATATATTTACTTTTTGTTTATAGTCGACTTGGAGTGAAAACTGGAGGATGCAGTGTGGCTCACAAAACGAACAGGGAAACGATGGTTGAGATTGCAGATTCTGTAAGGGGGAAAGATATTTACATCATTCAAACAGGGACTAAGTAAGTTTATAATCTTCTTTTAGAGTTTGAAATTCAATCGCTTCATTTAAATGTATAAATATTTTAATTTCAGAGATGTTAATAACAACATAATGGAACTTCTGATTATGGCATATGCGTGTAAAACATCATCGGCCAGAAATATTGTTGCTGTTATTCCATATTTGCCCTATAGCAAGCAATGTAATTTATATGCCGTGTTAAATTTAAAAAGCCCTTAATGTTTTTAATTGTTGTTATCAGGTAAAATGCGCAAAAGAGGATGCATTGTGACAAAACTTTTAGCAAAAATGATGTGTAATTCAGGATTGACCCATGTCATTACAATGGATTTGCACCAAAAAGAAATTCAAGGGTTTTTCGATTGTCCAGTCGACAATTTAAGAGCTTCTCCATTTTTACTGCAATATATCCAGGTTTTTATACATTGATTAACATAAAACTTTCAGAATTAAAACAATTATACATATGTTTCAGGAATGCATACCTGATTACAGAAATGCGGTAATAGTCGCTCGAAACCCAGGCTCAGCCAATAAAGCTACATCATATGCTGAAAGGCTGCGATTAGGAATTGCGGTTTTGCACGGTGAACAGAAAGAAGCCGACAGCGACTTGGTCGATGGTCGATACTCTCCTCCTCCTCAGTCAAACGGAAACTCGGGAGGGACCGGCACTACAAGCTCGAGCGGATCCTACGGCAGTTCGTACAACCCAGCAGTTGTAAGAGTTATGGCTGCTCCGGGTGTACCAAGACCTCAGGCAAAGGAAAAACCACCGATAAATGTTGTCGGTGATGTCGGAGGGAGGATCGCTATAATGGTTGTAAGTATACGGAAACAGTATTAAATTTTATTTAGTTATGTTTCATATTTTTATTTTTACGCAGGATGATATGATCGATGACGTGCAAGCATTTGTGGCTGCGGCTGAGGTTTTAAAAGAAAGAGGTGCATATAAAATTTATGTTATGGCAACACACGGCCTTCTGAGCTCTGATGCTCCTAGATTAATCGAAGATTCTCCTATTGATGAGGTAAAAAATCTGTTTACTATATTCAAATGTAGGCAATAATGCAATCATGTTTTTCAGGTGGTTGTCACCAATACTATTCCACATGAACTTCAAAAATTACAATGTCATAAAATCAAGACAGTCGATATTAGTGTTTTATTATCTGAAGCAATTCGGCGTATACATAATAAAGAGTCAATGTCTTATCTTTTCAAAAATGTAACTTTAGAAGACTAGTTTAAAAATAAGTAACCATACATTGTAGGACACAAAAGTGTCAGGAATTAATGTTCCTGAGATCTTTTAGTAATTCATTCACTTGAGTAACTGACTTAGTCAAAATAAGAAGTACTAGTTTCTTCTGTTATTAGAATAAAATCTTTTTTTCTTGGTGAAAAGTACCTATTCGACAGTACCCATACCAATACCTGTAGTGGTTCTCTCTTGAATATTGTGAAATATTTATTTTTTCCATCATAAAATGTTTAAAAGAAAAAAAATTTGTAAAGATGTATATTTTTCAATCGATCAAAAACGTTTTTTATTTTTTAATAAACATCTTCCACATATTGTAATATTAAATTTTGCATAAATCAATTTCTTATGATTGTTGTCAAATAAAAGTTTTGTCAATAATCAAATAAAACTAGATAAACAAACAATTCTTATTTGTGTTCTATGTTTTATATTTATATATTGGTTTTAAGATCAAATTTATCCTGAGAAATACAGGCTAAAATTAAAATTATCCAATATGTCTTTAGTTCAATTGTATTTATATGTAAAAAAATAAAGTTTTTCTTTCGTTCTTTTTATATTTATTTAATCTGCTAAAAGCTGGGTTTTTGCTAATTATCAAGGTTGCTATTGCAAGTGGAAAATAAGAAAGAAATTTTTTTTTGAGGGGGGTGTCCACATTCAGACAGAGAAGTGCCCTCAGCAAGGTTGAGAAAGCCAGCAAGAGGCCAAAGAAGCATGGGTGGTCTTTGCGAGCCAAAGAAGGCTCAGTGTGGACATCAGCGAGAAGTGGGGCCCGGTCGGTGAGGCTCAGGCTTGAATGAGTCAGTGTGGTTAAGTCAGATGAAAAACGACTTTTTGAATTATTATTTTGGAATTTGGAGTTTATTTTCTCATTGTTGTATAACAGAGAGATTGTGCGAGGGAAGAACCCCTGGAACAAGAAGGAAAAGGACCACTTCAAGGTTTGAACTTTTATGTTATTTTGTTTTCTTTTTTTATTGTAGAAGAGAACTTGTTTTATTTCCTTTCTGTTTTACATTTTATTCGCAATAAAGAGTACATTGCTATTTTATTTTTATTTTTTCTCACCCTGAGAGTTCACTGTTTCCTAAAACGGAAAAGAAAAAAAAATGTGCCCAAGTATTTTATTTTTGGAGACAAAGTGGCCCCAAGAAAAAAAAATCTGCACTGAGCCGCCCCACGTATTCGAAGACCAGGTGGATTTTCAATGGTCTGAGGAAGAACCAGAAACATTGTGTTTAATGGCTATATATGGACAAACAACAAAAAAAGCATAATGACATTCTAACTTCAAATGCTTATTTTTCATCTCTCAGAACATATAAAATGTACCTGAAATTTTAAAATAAATTGCTGGTTGTATAATATTTAAAATTGGTAAGAAGGTGGCAAAACATAAAAATGAAATGTTAAATGATGCCTACGATCCACATCACAAGAACCACTTAATTCAGGTGTGTTAAAAATGTAAACATACAACACCAACCAGAAAGAGGCTATCACGCTAGGCTTAGGATAGGTCATGTTGCTCACCCATTTGTTCCTCATGGCTAGGGATGGTTAGGGTAGGACCTTCCTTTTTGTAGCAATTGAAGTGAGTGGAGACGTATTGTGAAGTAGAATGGACGAATTTCAAACAATATGAACATGCTAAATAACATTACGACAATCTCTAACAAGTTTTAAAATACTCTTCGTGATGACCCTACTAGGACAGAGAAGTAGTTGAAGAAGTTGCTTCTGAGAGATGCAAAATTGATGCACAGAATAATAGAATGAAAAAGGAAAAGTGGGAACTGGAATCTTGGCACAAAGGTAGTATGATGGGGAGAAGGTCCTGGTACCTGTCAAATCTCAGTAAAAAAATGAAATTAAAATAATAACAATAAAACTAAAATAAAAAGCTAAACTTCACAAGCATTTATTGTATGTATAAAATGGCATTTACAAAGTCAAAGCTTTCCCAACTGATGTATTGTCGTTACCAACTATGATACAAACAATAATCCCTGTACTCCTCCAGGGTGACACTCTAGCCTCACCAGAACTCCCTACATAAAGTTGTGTGAATACTACATAAGTTTTACTTTATTTGTGTAAAAAATTGATTAAGATTGAGATAACGAAACGACATACAAGTCACAGCCTGTTAATCTTAGGGGTTTCTTGTTTAGCAAAAAAAAAAAATCAAAGGCATTTTCTTTTGATAGAAAAGTCTACTTTAGACCAGCTTACAAAACATTTTTATTACATTGGATGCATAATTTGGATTTAAGAATGGAAATTTGAAATACCAAAATCAGAATTGATCATTCAATGATGACCAACATACTACTAGTCAGTGTACACCTTCTAAAAAAGAGTATAAATAATTAATAAGTGTAATAAATTTTTTGATGGTTTCCATCCTGATTTTGTGGACCCCATAATAAGATGATAGGTTAGAAATAAATAGTCTTTTCCACAATAGGCATTTATTTCATTAGATGTGTTACCATAGTAGAATATAGACCATCATCAGTGACTAAATAACAAAGCTGTACAAATAATGTTCAAACACGGTAATTACATAATTAATGTATGTAATTAGATTTTATTTAAGCTAATAAATAATAGTATCAAATCTAATTATGTTATTACCATGTTTGTATATAATTTGTACCACTTTTGTTATTTAGCCACTGCTGATGATCTACATTAGACTGAAACATGTCTAACGAAATAAATGCCTATTGTGGAAAAGACTATTTATTTCCAACCCATCATCTTAACATATAATAAAACAATACAATACATAATTATTAACAATACAATAAAAATGTATTTTAAGTTCATAAAAAATGAATAATTATTACAATTTGATATTGATGTATTTAAGATTTTACAAATAAACAACACAATTAAACAATGCATCAAACAAACATTCTTATTAATTTTTTTGAAGTTCATGCAGTAAAATCCTTTTTATTAGTACTAAAAAGTACTAAAATGTAGGCCAGGTCATAGTACATTAGTCTACAAAATTCATCCATGCACACACAAAGCCCCAGTGTAAAAATTATTTACAGTTATCCTTGGGTCCATTTACAAATAAAGCTTCACGTAGCTGAGCATTTAGAAATTATTGTGTTTGACAAATACACAAAAATTAAAATCCGACGTGCAAGCATGCTACAGATAATTAACTCATTTCATCACTTTTATTGTAATATGTGCAAATTTTATCTTTCAGCGTCCAACCAAAAAAGGTTTTGGATTAACTTTGTACACAGACAACATTCGTTCTGTTGCCTGAGTTTAATAATACTGTGTTACACCAAAAAGTAAAAATACTAAATAACATTTAAAAGATTATATTTTGTTAAGTTTACAAATATTACAGCAAAAAACAGTAAGAATTAATTAGATAAAGTATTATTATAGTATTAATAATTAATATCATTAAATAATGGAATTATGTTAAAACTGATATCACCAGTAAATGCAACAAACATAAAACTGTAAGTATATAATTTATGAAAGTATATATTAAACTGATAAATATTTATAAATATAGTAAAAATAAGTTTAAAAAAATAAAAATAATAAAATGCAGAATTTTTGTCATTACTGCTACTATTTTGGTGATAAGCCTTATTGGCTTGTAATAAAAATCTCATGTGGTTCGCTACCCTCTTGACGCAAGCAAATTGCATTTTTACTCCACAAGACTGTAATTAAATAATAATAATATAGCTTAATTTAAGAATTTTATTATATGTATTAATATTTAAATATATATTATATTTTTTTAATGGGAGTTTGCAACAGCAGAGGTTATAAAACTCCGCAGTCATATTATACCATTTGTTGAGAAAAATCTACAAGATGAAAACATTCCATTATCGCAAACACATGGAAAATACATTTAAAAGCAAGCCAAAAGCAGAACAACATTGTTGTTGTTTGTTAAATGCAGAAACGTAAATAACAAAATTAAACACTAACTGCTGATAAAAATAGCTAAACTACAATAATATCATAAAACAAAAACTTGCAATTCTTACCCATTAAATTTTTGAATGTTTTTGCAGCAATTAATTTTGATGTTTTGTCTGGAGGGCAGATCTCACTGAATGTAACATTGCCATTCTTTTTTATTAACAGCACTTCTAACCTTTCTTGTAGCATTACCATATCAGTCATTTCGCTAAAATATTTAGATTATTTTTTTCTGTCAATCATCCATTACTTTAATGTACCTGTGAGTTTCCTCAATGACAATGTTTGGTGTTAGCAAACAAGGTGAAATTGCCGGTATGGGTCTGATCACATTCTCCTGGAACATAACCTTACATACTTACACAAAAAAACCTAATTGTATAATTAAATTGGGTAAGAACGTAAGATCAATTTCAAAAAACAGCTAAAGTTTTTAGATATCGATATTGAATTTTTGTGAACAACCTTTTCCTTTACTGTCAGATCTTCAACAGTGCTTTCCATAAGATAAGCACCATCTAATTGAACATTTGAGGATTCTTCTTCAAAATCCATACCCCTTTGAAACAGATTCTTCAAAATAAAATTTAAGAAATTTAAAATTAAACATAATTGTATGAACTTAATCCCACCTTGGATGAGAATATTGAACAATATCAATAAGTTCGTCCTATAACAAAATATTAATCAAACACAGCCTAAACTTGTCACAAAATGTATACATTATCAGTTAAGAAGTTAAAATCAATTGATGTTTCATTAGCAACCAAGCTCATCATATTATCTTCTTTGTTGACATCACAGTAGACAACAACTGGATCCTTTTCATAAAAAATTGTTAGAAAAATATAAACTGTTAATATTTAAAATAAATAATTACCATTAATTCTGCTGGTCTTGTAAGAAAATTTTTATCAAACTTTGTATTTACCCGATAAATGTTCTTATAAATGTCAACACTTTTTTTTCTACTCTTATCCGCCTGTATTTCTACTATGCCACTTAAATTGTACGATATAGTTTTCTGTTTAAAAATAAAATAAAATAAATTTATATTAAGAAATATATCAAACTTTATTGATTACCATTTTTCTCTCCGGAATCAATTTAGAAATGTCTCCTACTGTCATATCATGTAAAGTTTGCACATTTTGAATGTGCGACTCTTGAAAGTGTGGCTCACTTATTTTAGGAACTTCATGTATTTGAGGCGTTTCACGTATTTTATCTAATCGTATTGACGAGTTCTAAAAAATTTTATATTGAATTTTTTAACTCTAAGGTAAAATGCATTTAATTTATACTTTACCCTATGTGATATTTCCAGTAGTTCATTGAGATACTGCTTAGCCCTGTAATTAATGGAACTTGCAAGAATTTAAGACAATTACATAATTTTGTTTTGGTTTGAAATTATATGAAAACTGGCCAAAATTGTCAATTGTTTAATTGAATTAAAATAAAAATTAAATAAACATAAAATTACCCATCAAAATCAACTTCTTGCATGTAGAAACTTTTATCCTTTGGCTGCGAAAAACAACAGGCTCATATTGATTATAGCAGTCTCAATTAAAAAACAAAAACAAAAATGTACTGTACAAATGTGTGAAGATTTAACCTATTCCCTCCTTTTTTCTACCTAGTTTTTAATACGTAGCATGTTCTCATATGACTGAGATCGCGGAAAAGAACCAGCAAGTTCACTATTAGACATAATGTGTAATTTTAAAAAACATATATAATTTGGTGATTTCTGATCATGATAGAAACTCTAGATTCATAAAATACAACAAGAATTCTTATAACATTTGTATATATAGTAGTCACAACAAAAAAATAATAATTTCGGTAATAGAACTTTTGTTTTTTATAGAAATTAAAACATGGCAACATACCGCTTTTAGTAAAACATCATCCTTTAAGCTGACTTTAGGAGTTTCATCTACATTCCATTGCTTTTTGGTTTCTACAACAATAACAATTGAGTTTAAAGATAAAATTTGTCATCCTTGTTATTTACCTTTTATTGTCTTCTTATGCTTTTTTCTGAAAAGTATATAAATTTTTAGTTAAAAACTAAAACAATAAATGAAGTTAAAAAATAATTTATATACCCGGAAAAAGATACTGGTCGAGGGATTATACTTTTTTCTTTATGAATGTCTTTAATTTTCACAAGGTCTGCAATGTAATTCACATAAAATGTCATAATGTATATTATAATAACAATGTTTTCTTCTTATATTTCGGCCTCAACAGTTTAACTTATGATTTTTCCTTCTTGAAGGTGGGATAATAGGTCATGACCTATTATCCCACCTTCAAGAAGGAAAAATCATAAGCATATTATAATAAAAAGTAAATAATATAAAATACAAAATAAATCCAGATCTAAGGAGAAGCAATCACAAATTTCTGGAGAAAATTACAATCAGAGGTATCTAATAACGGTGCCTGACAAAATTAGAAAGAAAAACTTTGACAGACAATTCCAAATGGTCATTGATAACAGAGATCATTGGAATAAAGGCTTCAATTTCAGGAAGGAGCTCTAATATGATAGAGAGTGATCAAAAAGGCCGTAGAGAATAGATATATGAGTAAGAGGGCCTTATAACCTAGTCAAACCCCTTGAACTAATCCCAACAATTTTCCAAGCTGAGGTTCATGTGTACAACTCTGTGCTCAGTAGTCGATAAAGAGAAATATAGAAAAAATGTATAATATGAAACTGAAAGCACAGATTTATATACTGTCAGAGTGTATGCTTTCTGCTCCAAACTAGTCTGAGAATGCCTAAATTGCTTAATGGTTCTAGGAAAACACAACAAGGTTACTTTAAAGTGGGTTTCAGGACATGAAGAAATAAACAGTCTGATGACCAAATAGGGAAAAAAGGGTCAGCCCTCTCACCCATGAGACCGGCAGTGCACCAGAGGGTATGCGTGGAACAGGAAAAATAGCTTTAATAAAATGGAAAAAATCATAAATGTCAAAAATGTATGGAACAGTCGTAAATTCAAATATAAGTCCCTGTAGGAATTTCCACCAAAATCTTCAGCTGCAATTCCATTTGAATGGTACGTAAAACAAATTTATAAATATTTCAGTTTTGAAAAAGATTCATAGTTGTAAGGACAAACCAAAAACATAAGTAATACAATAAAAAATCACTATCCAGTTCACAGGGGTCAACAGCAATGAGCAAATAAATCTAGAGGAAGAAAAAGAGAATCCCTTCTGAGAGACAGGAATAGGCAATATTAATGAATTGGAACAGGAGATAGTAAATAATAAAGCCCTTCGATTGGACATAGACAATCTAATAATCTAGCTGAATTTGAAAAGAAAACAAATTCAAAATGCATACGAAGAAGCAGAACTCTCTGGAAGTAAAGAATAATTGAGATTTCTTCTGAGCTCAAAGGACAGTGAGTAATGAACCTGTAGCTAGGTCGTTTCAGATCATTTTGATGCTGTTCTGGTCTACTAGACACGTTTTATATTTCTGCCATCATTGACTGTTAGTGCATTACTTTACCTACACAAAACCACTGATGAAGAAAAAAGTTAATGTGTGTCCAACAGGAAGAATAGGCAGACCAAAATGATAGGAAATGGCTGAGAAAGAAAAGTTGTTGAAGGGCACTGAGTTCAAAGCTCAAATTCTACATTTTACATACTGCAATATTAACAACAAATATGTTGATTTTATATTTTTGAAATTAAAGTTTAGTTTTTATCTTTAGCAATCGACTTTAGGCATGTCCATTTTAAATTAATTATTTAACATAAACTCCATTTAATGTTTTATATAATGTCCATTTGTGTTGTTTTATTTTAAACAAATATTCATAGGAACTTTGCCATATTTTTTTTTATACTTCACACATAACTAAATATTAATACGTATATATTAATATTTACTATTTAATATATACGTAAGTTATATTAATATTTACTATTTAATATTATTACATTAATATAAATAAACATATAATAATATAAACACTTTGCATTTGATTTAAACTCACACTCATATTTAGAAAATATTTGAACCATTCTTTGTTTAAATACTACCGAAAACCCATCCATTATATTCCGTAAATTACAAAGCAGGATTCTATCATGACATGTCAAACTTCCCCCAGGGCTTGGTAATCGGTTCACATGAGCATGTAACAACCCGCTGTAACAAAAAAAAAAGTAATTATAGTAAGAACGATGAAATAAAATGCTTAATGCTTGAGGATAATGTTAATTTAAAATTAGTTTCCTCAGTGGGTGAATGTGTTATTTGATTGTTGTTTTATTTAGAGGGGATGATAAAATTATGAACTTCAATTATTAGATTCAGTCATGGGTTCGAATCTCGCTCATGACACTGACTTTTTTTTATCTCAAATAAAAACTTTAATGAATTTAAATTATTAGTTTCAATTAAATATTCTTTTTATGTAACGTCAGTGTCACATGCGGGATACTTTTTTACCTCAACCAAGACCTTACATAAAACGAATAATTATTTGAAAGAAGTAACTTGGTCAATTGACCACTAAAACATAAATTGATTAAATTATTAGTTTCTCATCATCCATAAGTGGATAATTCAAGATTTATTTTTTTCTCAGAAATAAAGGATTAGTATTTTTTAGATATATTTTTTATTATGATTATCTGCTACAGGCTAATAGCACCGTGTGCATTAAAATATAGTCATACATATATTTTTTATTCAAGTAATCATGTAAGTTCTAAGGTTAACCTAAAATATTACTAAAGTACTGTTTTGAATTGAAATAGCCAAATATCGTAATAAAATTAGGTGCAATTCACATTCGTACAATTTAAAAGTCAATCATAATTATGTATGAAATCATAATTACATAACTGCAGCTAATTCGACCTGCTCTAAAGTTTTGCTATGTTTTTTAATATCGGCCGTAGTATAATCGGCGATTTGTTTCAGCAACACCAATTCCTTTTCTAATCCATAGTCGAAAAGTGTTAAAACATCCATTTTCTTGTATTAAATTCAATAAAACCTTTGTAGAAACGTGGCGAAATTAAAATTAATGGAGCGTTTTAATTATATTAATAATCCGACTTGGCTATGAGCAGTATCAACCAGCCATCTGAATCGTAAAAAATAACCCAAAATATAAATACTTTTTAATTACAACAGTTTTGTACTTTATTATTTATTATCGTTATTGCATTTATATTTTGAAAAGGTCCAACTAACGCATAAATAAATATGAAGTGGGAAACTCCGACCAAATAATTGAACTACTAATGTAGCAGAAGTGGTATAAAAATGAAGGAAAAATTAAAATGAGATGGCAAAATTAAGTAGTTTTATATTTTCGATACAAAAATTATAAACCACGATAAAAGAAAAAGAAGGAAAACCAATTCGCTTGCATTAGAATCTCAAAACAATAACAATTTCCCAATCCTCTTCTGCTATTTCTAGTTTTTTGATTAGATGTCTGTTGTATCTACTGGTGAATGTAGTCGGAGTTTATCGATACATTGTTCGAATCGCTACGCCTACGCGTGGCCGGCCCAGTAACTACTTGTTATCGTTTAGGTTACAACCGAACCAGAAAAAATGGTAAGTATCGTGTTTTTATCTTTAATTATCCTTGAAATCCTTTTTGATTTTCAAAGGGCGACGATTCGATCAAATTCCGCATTCGTCCTTCCAGGGAAAATCGTCAGTCCGGCCCAAATTCGCTTCATTTGGCCCTATTTGGCAATCGAAATTTCATGCGTTCCCCAGCCCGGGGGGCAAGGTCGGTTTTTCCGTACCGCCCGTCTGAACTTTTTACTCGATATTAAAATTTTCGCGATATGTCATTGAATGATTTATTTAAATAATCTTCAAAAACTTGAAAAAATAAAGCATTTGCCCTATTTATTCGATAATTGAATTGCTATTTCTTTTAAGAGCGTCGTTTATCAAACCTTCCACCAATCGTTGTTACCCAAATCCCGGTAATTGTGAAAATTAGTTTTAACTTTATACAATTAATTCCTGTGTTATTAAAAATGCTGCTTCCGCTAACTATATTTACAACAAAAACTGACCAGAGGAAACCTCAAAACAAAATTTTTAAACATAGTCTAGGAATTCTAGTTTTTTAATTTACCTAGAATTAGTAACATTGGTTTACATCCATACATGTTTATCGGTTAAAATTGTCCATATTAATTATTTCAATTAATAATTCTTTTTATCTAAGGTCTTATGCTGCTGCTCTAACCACTTGAGCTCGAAGTTACGATAGCAAGAGCAGCCAGCATATTAGCCAAAGGTTGTGGGTTCGATTCCTGCTCATGAAACTAGCATCTCAACCAAGACCTTAGATTAAAAGTATAATTAATTAAAATCAATAATGCAATATATATTAATAACTGTTGTGAAAATTCCTTCATGCCAAGCTTTCGTTTAATTACATTCTTTTAATAATATATTTTTTTAAAAAGTATTTATTAAATTAACCACATTGGTAAAATAATTTATCTAATCATTGTTTTTAGTATTTTAATTGTTGTTTTTATGTTATTTATTTATTATCAAGGCTTTATAAAAATCTACATATGTACCTGAAAAAGAAATTGTAAACAAACTCAGCCCTGAAGATGTTTACAAATTAAATGAAAGCTTGGCAAGAAGTTGGGAATTTCTATGTTTCTGTGACCTAATACCTGATTATCACACATACACATATATGTAATTTTATTAATGTCGATCACTCCATGGTTAACTGACTCTTCGAAGTAAAGGGACCACGGTGGTGAGAGGTTGGGGCCATGCTAGCGATCCTGGGTTCGAATCACAGCACAGCTCATGGCTTTTTATGAAAACTAGCTTTTTCATCTCAGTTCAGCCAATAACGCCTTAGATTAAAAGTTTAATTAATTAAAATCAGTAGTGTTATATATGTTAATAACTGTTGTGAAAATTCTTTCTTGGGATATTCTATATAATAAAATCATATGTAAAAAGATGCACATCGAATTCACTCCACACTGATGTACCGGCTGGGCTTCTTTTGGCTCCCAAAGAGCGCCCGCTCATCTTCGACCTCGTTCAACCTTGCTAAGGGAACCCTAGTCTCGAGCTGAATCTGGGCCCCCCACAAAAAAAAATTCTTATTTTCCACTTGTAACACATGTATGTGTTATGAGGTGTTTGTGAGTGGCTTGCCTTCTGGATAGAAATGATGTTAAGTACACGGAATGTTTAGCCACCTGAGTTTAATTGTATGCTCACAGATGTAACACCTAGAGTGATCTGAAAGTTCTCAACTGCTACTGTGTTACACGGTAGTCACATACCACATCTAGCTTAATTCTCTTTATAAATTAGTGAATGTACAATTTACTAATAAATATTAATTTAATTATTATTGCATATTTAATAGTAAAATGCAGCTTTGCTATTTGTAATGATTTTTTTTCCTTTTGCTTTCAGCAACCACAAATTATCTTGCTGAAAGAAGGCACTGAGACTTCGCAGGGAAAATCTCAGCTGATCTCAAACATCAATGCTTGCCAGGTGGTCGCTGATGCTGTTAGAACCACCCTGGGGCCAAGGGGGATGGACAAGCTTATGGTCGACATGCAAGGGAAAGCTACAATTTCCAACGATGGGGCCACAATAATGAAGCTGCTCAACATTGTCCATCCCGCTGCAAAGACACTTGTTGATATCGCAAAATCTCAGGATGCTGAGGTGATTTTTCTTTAGGCTTTTTGTGTCATATTCACATTAGAGCATGCTGTTTTTTTTAAATTTTTTTTTTTTTTTTTTTTTTTTAGGTTGGCGATGGGACGACCAGTGTAGTTCTTTTTGCAGCGGAGTATTTAAAACAATTAAAACCTTATGTTGAAGAAGGTGTGCATCCGAGAGTAATGATGCATGCAGTCCGTAAAGCAACAGCATTAGCTCTTGATAAAATAAATAGCTTAGCTTTCAAGGTATGGAATTCGAGTTATAATTATCTGTTAAGGCATAACTGTTTCAATCATTTTTTTCCAGATTGACAAGTCTGATACTGACAAACACAGAGTAGTATTAGAAAAGTGTGCTGCTACTGCACTTGGTTCTAAATTAATCCATCAACAGAAGGATTTCTTCTCTAGGATGGTAGTAGATGCTGTTTCACTTTTGGACGAACTCCTTCCATTGCAAATGATTGGTATTAAAAAAGTCCAAGGAGGCGCTCTTGAGGTAGCACTCAACTAATTTGCCTCGAGTGAAAATTTTTAATTGAAATTAAACATTGTTTATAGGATTCTCTCCTGATAGATGGAGTTGCGTTTAAAAAGACATTTTCTTATGCCGGATTTGAAATGCAGCCGAAAGTTTACCAGAATCCAAAAATTGCTCTTCTTAATATTGAGCTGGAATTAAAAGCAGAGCGAGACAACGCTGAAATTAGATTGACCAGTGTGAAGGTGATTATCTGTTTTATCTATAAAAATATTACTGTCCATTGATTTTAATTTGAGCATTTTGACTAAAGTCTCTCATACCAAAATTTGATATGTTGGATTTGGTTTATTATTATTATTCCAAACTAGTACATAATAAAGTGCCTGAATAAATTTAATACTCACTATACCATGGTGCGGAGTTCTCACATCTGTTCACTATTCATTATTTTTGCAAATTTATGAATTTATGAATCATATAAATCTTAGATAGTTTCGACACAGTTCTTGGCAATGATGGGACTTAGTAGGCCTTCAAATAAATTTGAAACCATTTATTTACATACTTAATTATATCAATTTGTGACATATTTATGATAGTTTTGCCCTGATGATGACCTTAAAATACATTACATTAATGGTTACAGATTAAATAAGAATATATTATAAAAGTGTGACATGATTGAAAATTTTTTCGTTTCCTTTTTTTAAGGAATATCAAAAAGTAGTGGATATGGAGTGGCAAATTCTATATGAAAAACTTGAAACAATTGCCAAATCTGGTGCTAATGTGGTACTGTCAAAACTGCCAATTGGTGATGTCGCCACGCAATATTTTGCAGACAGGTTTGTTATTTTATTAGATATTATACATTTACAAATATCATTTACATCTTTCTTTCCCCCACAGGGATATGTTCTGTGCTGGAAGAGTGCCAGAAGAAGATCTTAAAAGAACTCAAAAAGCCTGTGGAGGTTTTGTCGTTACAACAACAAAAGACATGAATGCTAGTGTTTTAGGAACTTGCAAAGATTTTGAAGAAAGACAGTTGGGTTGTGAAAGGTCCGATAATTTCTTGTAGCCTATAACCTTGATATCAGTATTTGATCGTGTTTTAATTTTAGGTTTAATGTTTTCTCCGGCTGCCCTCATGCACAAACATGCACTTTGATCCTCAGAGGTGGTTCTGAACAATTTTTGGAAGAAACAGAACGCTCGTTGCACGATGCAATTATGATCGTGAGGAGAGCGATAAAACACGATGCTGTCGTGGCAGGTAATGTAACATTGTATGACACTTGTTGTAACATGTATGACACTTCATTAATTATCAAATTATGTCAATTCCAGGTGGAGGAGCTATTGAAATGGAACTGTCAAAGGCCCTTAGGGATTTCTCAAGGACGATTGCGGGAAAAGAGCAGCTCTTGATTGGAGCTATTGCCAAAGCCCTTGAAGTGATCCCCAGACAGCTTTGCGACAACGCCGGCTTCGATGCAACTTCACTTTTAAATAAACTCAGGCAAAAGCATGCACAAGGTAAGTTCAAATCTTACTTAAATTATTAATGTGTGGTGATTAGTGACCGTTAGTCGATGATTATTCAGAAATTGTGAGATGAGGTCTGGTGTGATGTAGGTTTCAGAAAAACATTTTCAGAGAGAGAGCATATCTCAACACGCCCGACGAATGGCACAATTACACAGAAAACAAACACTTTAAGTGAGTAGAAATACTTAGATTGAATATAAAAAATATTTTTGCATTGTATAAATTCACTTTTTCCACATCCTACATATATTTGTTAAATTGAAACAATGTTTGTAAATCCCAAGCCCTGAAGATGATCTCAATAAAGATCGAAACGTTGGCATGATAAAGATAATGTTTTTCTGAAACCTACATCACACCAGACCACATCTCACAATTTCTGAATAATCATAAATTATTAATTTTTATTATTATAAAGAATTCACTAATTGTGTGGTCCGCTTGACCAATTAATATATTAAAGGTTTTTAGTTGAGATAAAAATATATTATTAATTGGTCAAGCGGACCATGAAATTAGTGAATTTAATGATTTAAAATGAAGTAGACTTCACTAAAGCTCTCCGTGGCCATTTCATTTGTCGCCGAGAATCCAATCGGATTACACGACATTTGAAAAATGGCAAAAAGGAGAGAAAATACAAAAAGGTGGGGTTGAGATGGGAAGTTGGTGTCCGAGTGGATCGAGGTCACGATAGCTCAAGTGGTAGAGCAGCGGCGTATCTAGCCGAAGATCGTGGGTTCGAATCCCGTTCATGCCATTGACTTTTTTATCTCAACTAAAAAACCTTAATTAATTGTATTATAAAGAATAATATCAGCAACACAAGAAATATCCAAAGAATCGGATTGAATTAGCACAAATGCCGTCAGTACTTATTTACATACTACTGAGAACTTGAACTTTTTATACTACAATGCTGTTATAATAAACTGATAAAAGTGAACCCTTATAATTTTAGGAAGCTGTTGGTATGGTATCGACGTAATGACGGAAGATGTTTCGGACATCATGAAAAAATGTGTTTGGGAACCAGCAGTGGTCAAGAAAAATGCTCTTTCGGCAGCTGCTGAAGCCGTTTGCCTTATTCTCTCTGTCGATGAGACGATCAAGAACCCAAAAAGCAGCAGTGGTGGAATGGGCGACCAGCCGGTCAGAAGGCCGATGTAAATGTAATATTTTTATACTTGCTTTATACGTCGATCTAATTGTCAAGAAAGAAAATAATCTTGGTTTTGATTATTAACAAGTGAACGATTAAAATAATATGCTTTAATTCACTACTTTGTAATATTAAGTTAATTAAATAAAACACTTTCACACTATTGATTTTAATATTTCTTCTTATACCATTCCAAACAGTTGGTTAGGAAAAAAATTATAATTGTGATCAATATCAGCTCAATCCAATGCTCACCACCTACGCTTTTTTCTCCGATAAAATTTTTATTTTCACTACTTTTTTCCTACCTAAGAAATTGTAATATTGTTTTGTCTTTATTGACACTAGCATTACGAAAATAGGTGGGACTTGGACCAATAAATTGAAAGTAATTTCAGCTTATTCTATCAAAATGATTGGTTAGTTACACGGATTGTTTCAAAACCGGCTCAATCAAAAATTAAATTTAATTTTTGGCCAACCTGTAAATTTGAAAACTAAGCCTTCAAATCAATTTTCTCAATTGAAATTAATTGTGATAAGATTAATTCGTACCAGTCCTCAAAAAAACTTCATCTTTTTATAATAATGTTTTTATAAGGAACAAATTTTGTATACAAGCTGAATTCATACAAGGATATGTACATGTAAAACATCATGTAAAGAAAAGAAATAAAATTCAGTAGAGCTGATTAGTGTATAAGTAGTACAAACTAAATGTAATTCACATCACTTTTGTGTAACTTAATTATTAACGAATAATATGCAAAACAAAATTAAAACAACCTAACTGAAATACTCTGTAATAAGGTAAACGTGTGAACTGAATAAGCAAGTGAGCAGGAATCTTATTGACATGATGTCCTCACCATACCACCTCGGATCTAAAAAAAAACTCATGGAGCACTCGTATCTCAAGACTCAAGGCACCACTGTACCTGTGTAAATCACACATAAAAATGTTTAAAATGTAACTATGCAAGAGTGCTAAGTAAAGGAATTAGGTAGTGTGCAAAACTTATGTTCAATTTTTGTGTGTAGGTGAATAAAAAAAATTGTTCTTTTTATTTTATTCAGTATCATAAAATGGGTACTCCAACTGACAAAATGAAATTTGCCATGCTGTAGATACTTGTATATCTTTATGTGTTGTACCTGTATTTGGTAAAGAAAATAATATGTTATTATTATAAAATTTTAATATTTATTAAAAAAAAATTTAACAGAATAACCCAAAAAAGTAATTTTTATTTGAAAAAATTAGGTGCATAACCGTTGACACTTAAAACCTTTCTTTGCCAGCCTGAGGAATTAGAAATGAAAATGTGTAGAGGATGAAGTAGGGATAGGGTTTGAAAACTATAGATAGGAGAGTGCAGGTGGCACCTGGTAGGTCAGGCAGTATGATACAAACATTGCATCTTATACAATCATGTTCAGACCAAGGGGGATTTTGTTGCAATTAAAAGTTTACAACTACACATGAGGGGTCAAACTAGTTTAAATACTTCTTTCATACTATTCTCACTTTTAAAAAAAACATGAGTTGTGCCTTGATTCAAACCCAGGTCAGCTAGTGTGGCAAATACAAGTCAAATGTCCCGAATACTCAGCCTGGTCCCCTATACAATTAAAGATGTATTATAAAATCTCAATATGCTTTTTACACCATGTCGCTTTTCTCCAAAACTAAACAGTTGCTTTAATGTGCTCATGCAGTTATCCAAGTTTTTTCCTTGTTCAATAATAAAATGTTTGTTCATATTTACAATTGCTGAGCACGATTGCGTATTAATTGGATCAGCCCAAGTATATCCTGTGGAATTGTGATTGAGGTTGTGACATTGATCTTTACTGTAAAAAGCCATTGCATAATTCCGTGAAATTCTATGTATATTATTTTATCTCATCCGCTGGGGAATAAAAATGTGACATCACACACAAATGTCTCCAAGAGTATGTTATTAATTGTGAAACTGTTATAGCTATAACTATTTCTAATAGGCATAAAAATTATCAATTTGTCCAATAAATGAGGCCTTAATTTGGGCATTTTACTTTTATTTACATAAGTCTATATACTGTATTTCTGAACAATTTATTGTTGGCAAAGTTTTGTTACAATGACAGGAGAGAAATCCAACCACTAATTCTTTTTAAGAGATAGAGAATTCACTTTCACCACGATACAATTCTATCCAGAAAAGGTTCTGTTTTGGCAAAGAAGTGTTGTTTGCTAAACCCTCAACGCACCCAGGCCAAACAGGCGAGGAAGGATCGACGCCGTAGATTAGCTCTGTTTTGCTAGGAAATGCCATTTTAAAACCTATATGATTGGAGGAATTATTGATTATTTTGGCTTTAATGATAGTAGGAATTTTTGTTTATTTATAGCCTGACAAACAGCTGCAGTTAATACTCTGTATATAAGAATTTTCTTTCTTATGTCTTTTTGGTGCAATGTAAGACATTTGAGTGTTACAGTGATTTTATGTTTTATGTCTTTGGTTGCACAAACTTAATAAGGTTGATTTTTTTGGCGGTCATTTAATGTATGGGGAACCCAACTTTTGAGCTTGTTCACCTTTTGTTGCCTTAAGGTGGTCGGCAACAGTCAATTTGCTTACTGAACAAAAGCTTACTTTTTCTGCAAGTTTTCAAATATTGTTCTGGGATTATCTTCAATCAAAGCTCAAAGAACGTCATCATCTATGGGAAAAATCCTTGCATGACATTCTTTGTCTTCAAGGCTAAAATATCCCTCTTATGTATTTTTTTAATCATCTCTGAACTGTGCTCTAATTCACACTGCCATTGCCCCAGACTTCATTAACGTTTCTGGCACCGTTCCGACCGAGTTTAAACTTGTAAAACTCAATTACGCAAAAATCACACATTGACAAAGATAAAGACGTTGATAAAGACTGAATTTTTCCCAAGTAACGAAATGGAACTGAGATAAACAAACATTTTTGTTAAGAAGATGATTAAAAAGTGTTGATATTCGTACAAAAGTATAAGCCATCAATCGTAAAAAATTTATTATATACAGGAATAATATATATAGTATTAGTAGTATACTAGCACAGTAAGTATTCTGCATATAAGAATTGTCTTTATTTTAATTTATTTTTTAATCTTTCCAGTGCAACTTATGTCTTTTAAGTATTACAGTGATTTTATGTTTTTTTGTCTTCAGTTACACAAACATCATAAAGATGATTTTTTTTTTTTTTTGTGGTCGTTTATGCATGAGGAACCCAACTCTCGAGCTTTTTCACCTTTCCAATTGCCAGGTGGACAACGACAGTTGATTTGAAGAAATAGCAGAAACAGCAGTAATGACGCTATGACCCATTACGGTCACACTAAACCCTCAACACACACAGGTCAAACCGGTGAGGAAGGACCGACGCCGTAAATTAGCTCTGTTTAGCTAGCAAATGCCATTTTAAAACTATTATGATTCTCAGAATTATTGATTATTTTGTTTTTAATAATAGTAGGGATTTTTGTTAATTTGTGGAGTGACAAACTGCTACAGTAAGTAGTCTGCATATAAGAATTGTCTCTATTTTTTATTTTTCATATTTTTACAGTGCAACTTAAGTGTTTTGAACATTACAGTGATTTTATGTTTTATGTCTTCAGTTGCACAAACATTAGAAAGATGATTTTTTTGGCAGTTGTTTAATGCATGAGAAACCCAACTCTCGAGCTTGCTTACCTTTCCAATTGTCTTAAAATATTATAGATGGTCGATTTGTTAACTGAAAGATTATGTGCAAGTTCTTGAACAGTTGTTCCGGGATGTCCTTAGACAGAAGCTCACAGTACATCATCATCTAGGGAAGAAATCCTTCCATGACCTTCTTTGTCTTCAAGGCTAAAAAAAGTCTCCCTCTTGAAATTTTTGCTCAAATGGGGATCTTATTCAGACTGCCATTGTCCCAGACTTCATTAATGGTTCTGGCCGTTTGGGCACCGTTCTGACCAAGTTTAAACTCGTAAAACGAAATCACGTGTTGAAATCTTAGTAAAGACTAAATTATTTCCAAGTAATGAAATGCTACTGAGGTAAACAAATATTTTTGTTTGGAAGAGGATTAAATAGTGTTGATATTCCTGCAAAAGAATAACCCATAAAACGTAGTTTATTATATAGAGGGTTAGGTAATTTAAATAGAACATGAAAAACCTGCATTATTTTCCGGACAACCCAGTAAGTTTAGCAAAATTTATTTTTTGTCTAATTTTTAATACTTTTGAAAAAAGATAAAAATGATGATGACTATTAGAAAATATACAATGCCTTCTATTTAAGATTAAGCATACCAACTACTATTACACACAAAAATAAAATTTTCTGTAAGGAAAACGACTTTATTTAGTTAATGCATATTACAAATTAGGCATTAAGGCAAATTATTTACAATTGGTCACATTTTGATTAAATGAATGTTGAAATATTGAAACTATCAAAATACTTTGTTTTTTAAATTTTAATTTTTGTATACAGAAATAGCCTAACCTGCATAAACACATTTCTTATTCACTGCCATACAGTTTTGATTATAATACAATTTTTGATTTTACAAGTGAATCAGATCCACGATAAAAGTTAAGAACGACTGATTGGTGGGAAAAGAATCGGTTGGGGAATTGGTGGAAGCGGTTCATTGGCAGTTACATGGTTTTGAGAATTAGCCAATTTTGGGAGTTCCCAGTCTGATGAAGATGAACCCCTAGAAAACATTTTTTGTATTAAAATCATTCCTTAAACAATAAGTAAAACAATAAAAAAATTACCCTGTAGAAGTTCTTCCATATTCTGAATCTGCTGTTGGAGGTATCATCGCTGTATATCCCCTTCTGCTAAGAACAGTCTCTACTCTTAAATATATTAAGATAACTTATTAAAATAAGTTTTGCAGTGTTAATTTATTAAGATGTAATAAATACTCTTTGATAGGTGGAAGGGTATCATAGGCCGTGTAAGGAATTCCGGCCGTGTCCGTGCTGAATGTAGTTGCATGAATTTCCTGTTGGTACAGACTATACAAATCTTGAAGATCATTTGGAAGCTGAATTTTTCCTTCTGTAGAATTAGTGGTATTAGTATTATTTTTTAATATTTATTATTTTTTAAGACCTTCAATAAGATGTCGTTGCCTTGTTATGATTTCATCAGTTAGCCTCTGCTGTCGATAAAATCTTTGCAACATATCTGCCCTCCTTCTGAGCTCATGTGTTTCGACTAACCTTTCCCCTTGCATCGCCACTTTGTCTGCTTCTAGCTCATGAACCCTTATCAATAACGACAACATCTCCCTCTCTGTTTCTGAATCTAGCTGTTCTGGCAAATCCTATTAATATTTATTTCAATGTAAACAGACCTCATTAAGAATTGGATTATGTTAACATAATGTACATTTTCAAGTGCCACTGCATTTTGCCTTGTAGCATCCAATTCTTTTAATGTCGCAGAGCGTAGTGCAACGTAGCGTTCTTGTTCCCTCTCAATATAGCTGAGCTCAGACCAAGCATCATGAATGGAAACCTCTCCACCTTCCTCTGAAATATCTCATTTTTTAACAAAAAGAAAAATTCTAAAGTATTAAAAACATTCAAGCTTGAAAAAGCTTGAAGCTGAAGAATTTATAGGAACATTAACATCCATTTTTTCAATAAATTATGCAAATAGAACCGTTTTTTTCTTGCCATGTGAGAAGGCATTATATCGGAATGCACTATAGAACATGCAGTCAGATTCTGCAAAGAATCAAATTATAAAATAAAATTCTATTGCCTGGAATGAACCCAATATATATGACTCATAAGCATCATACTTCCTAAAAATCTAGGCTTGTGGTCTGTACAAACACATTTACATTATTTGTTTGTTTATATTTGTTCAATATGTTATTAACTATATTACATAAATAATGAAAATAAGGATCTCTTGTCAAATTGTAATTGTAGAAACAAATTACAATTGAATGAAAACGTTTTCTTTTATACATGATACTGCTGATTTGGTGTAAGAATAATACAATTTATTATTTCTCGTACTTATTTGAAACTATGGAAAAATTTATTTTGGATTTTATTAGATACATAATTTGAGGAGAGTTTTGATAGAAACTAAATAACCTGCACTGGTATGAGGCCTCGCCCTATTGTAAAGTTTACTTCTCCTCGCTTCCCATTGTGAGATGATCTGATGTTGCCTCTCAGCTTCCACACCGAGCGACATTAAATGTCCATCTATGTCCATCAACCTACGTCTAAAACGTTTCATTATAACTTTGGTAGTTGAATCAGGTACAGATTGATTACCTCAGTTTCATTTGCTCTCTAAAAGTGGCAATTATCTGTTCCCTCAGTTGTTTCACAGGGGTGCCTGTAGTCCTTCCCCTTATATCGGCTGATGTCGGACGGCTTTCTGTAAGTTTGTTTTTCAGCCTTCCTATTTCCGATCTGAGATCTGATATTATTTCCCGATACTGGGAGACTTGAAAACCGACTTCAAGTTCATTCTTTTCGACCTGTTATTACAGCAAATATCCCTTACTTAAGTGTACAATAAATTCAGAGAAGTCATAAGCCTACCTTGTGGGTTATCCTGGCTGCTCTAGAAGCGTAGATAAGTGTGTTTTTCGTTTCGTCCTTATGAATAGAAGATGGTGAGACGTGACCGACCATAACCGTCCTGCAGTTACCGGAAAGCGCATTTCTCAACAGCCTCGTGAGTTTCGAGTCTCTATAATTAACATAACGCCCACCGTTGCCAGAAGAAGACGTCCCTCCACCGTTTCCAGACAAGGCATTTATCACGTTACCCAGCGCAAGGAGCGATCTATTGATATGAGCCCCTTCTAAAAGTCTTTTCCCTCGGTTCTAAAAAAGAAATAAAAGGAAAGTATCAAGCAGTGTTCAAAATACTGGTAGAAAAACGAAAATAATTCACGATACAGTACGGTAAAACGTATCATCTTTGCTGGTTTAGCATCGGAGGCAAAATTACCTTTGTGACTGAAGCACGCTCGCTTCCTGCCAAGTCAAGCATGTACAATTTCCCTTTTCTTCTATCTTCACCTTCCTCGCTTACGACCGTGACACTGAGCAGTGCATGACTTCTGGATGAAGTTTTATTCGCTGCGGTCGGCTCTATCGTCCTTTCTTTATTGCCTCTTAGCAAAAGGCCCATTACCTGAATCACATATGCATTAATGAAAGAAATTCGATATACAACAATTTTATTTTCTGTCCTGTCACATTCTATCAATAAAAATCATACATCTCCCTTAGTTTGGCATACAAATTTTGTTGATCAATCTTTAAGCCTGGGCAAACAAAATCGAGCAAATCAAACAAAAATAACTCACTAAAATAAACATGCTCACGACCACTGGTTCTACGGCTATTGTACAATGGAGCAACTAGTTGCCCTATAGAAAGATTCTTTCCATCGAACAAGGACAGAAAATAAAACAACGATCATTATGTGAATTGAAAAGACAGACTTCTCTAATACAAAATCCATGGCGCCAACGATGTGAATTAAGGATTTGTATTGAAACTAAACTTTCCGAAAAACCTAAGTCAAAAGGATAAATATTAGAAAAACCTTGTAAATCTAAGGGCAAAGATCACATGGGTACAGATGTATTACGAGGGGAAGTTCATGTGAGAGATAACATGTAGATGTAGATGTAGATATATTAGTCTGGGTGTGTGTTATAGTGCGCCATTTAAGAGCTGTTGTATCTCCCGTTTTGTGCTTATAGCACCGGTTATTCCTGGTGGTTCATCAAAGAACTTGATTAGTAGGTCCGGTTGCATTCATTCAATCTTTTCTACGGTTACATCGTATGTCCCAAAACACTTCCTTCTATGTATCACTATAATTTATTAGTAGGTATGTTGGTGTTTTCTCTGCTTCTTCAAAATCTCTTCTTCTTCCGCAAAATCTGCACTTGCCGTGTTGGTTTATGTTAATCTTCTTCAGATGTCCATTTCGTTTGCTATGTCCTGTTAAGAATTTTTTTCTTGCTTCCTTTAATGTATTCTGTTACTTTTATCCTTCCAAAGTTTGTAAGAAGATTGTTTGTGTCCAATGAGTGAATTCCATTGCTCCCTCATTTTCCCTTTATCCTCCTGTCTGAGGTGCTCATTGGTAGTGTGCATTCCTATTGCACGAGAGATAACATGGGTATCGTGACAAATGGCCAAACACTCATCACAATAGTAAATTCGAACGTCGTGAAGGCGAAATTAATCTCCTTAGGAATAAAAAAACATTATCCTTGATTCATTTCGGGGCACATTGAAAGAGAAATCGATTGAATTCAACAAACGGATGACCATTTGGAAACGTAAAGCAGTGCTGATGACGGAACAACGCTTTCTTCTGAGAGATTACAGAAAATTTTAGAACGAAAGAAAGGAAATTAACAATGGAACTTTATTTCTTCTCACGGTAGTTTTGCAAAGAAGCAGAAGAAAAAGTCACCAACAGATTATGGACTTAATTTTAATGTCTGCTAGTTTATTAAATTCTTCAGTCGAAATGTTTGTTTGTTTTACTGTTTGTTGTAGTTATTGATAAAAGCTTTTAAGTGCCGCATTATCGCATCAAAGGACTTTTATCTATCAATCAATAGAGCAAACAATTTGAGTTAGAAAAAAACGTACTACTCGCTCTTCTTAGAAGTCGTTCCTGAATGCAGTCTTTTGAAACAGATCTTAATATTTAATCCGTTAATTAGCTCCAAGTTTATTTAGCTTAGCAAAAAATACCCGCCTAATTCTAACTAATTCAATTGTATTAAGCATCGACTTTGATGTAATTAATGTATAAATAAAATACAATACCGATTATTATCGGCAATTACAATAAAGTTAAATGATGTTGAATTGTTGAGCGTGTCAAAAAAAAAACGATCTAACGTTTTGATATTGTATTGAATAGAAAGTGGGGACTGCCAATTTAATTCCAACCCGCAATGGCCGATAACAAATTTTTTCCTTAAATCGTATATGGATTACACTGCCGGTAAAGTTTCCAACTGTTTTCGTCCGAATTCCTTGTATCGACATTGCTGGGTTTTGGGAATCGAAATCCTGTATCTACATTTTTTTTTAAATTTGTAAATTCACGCGTGGAAAATTTCTCATTTTGGAATGTGGAAGAATTGATAAAATGACCTACCGGTTTAAACGTATTGATTATGTCGAAGCCTATTTTGATCAATAAAGTATAAGATAGCGTATTACAATATTTTTATTATTTATGTTAGAATCAATTTAAAATTGTTCAAATATTAAATTATATTACGCCCTTTATAATAGGTACATGCATACAGTTTTATCATATCATATCATATTAGTCGATAGTGCGCAAAAATGTTTTTTTAAACATATTTCGCAAGACCCGAATTGTTAATCAATGGAAGGTTCATCACCTGATTCTATAGATATTAACCTACTTCCAGCGATTCGATCACATCGAAAATTACTTAAAATGAAACGTTTTGACAAAAAGAAAAAAAATGACAGCATTATTAGCAATTATTATTATTATTATTATTATTATTATTATTAGTGTTAATAATATCTATTACTATATACATAAATATGTTTACATATTTTTAATATTTTCTTTTAATTATCAGGAGGATCGGTTTTTCAAGGGAGTTTGAGAACAATGATGTTGCTATAAACATAAATCAGCAATATCTCACTGGCACTCTCAACACGACACACAAGAATGGCACAAATACGCAGAAAACAAACACTTTGAGCCCTGAAGATGATCTCAATAAAGATCGAAACGTTGGCACGATAAAGAAAATGTTTTTCTAAAACCTACGTCGCACCAGACCGCATCTCACGATCTCCGAATAATCATCGATTATCGGTCACTAATCACTACATACTTTACACAATGGTGAAACTACGCCTTGATAGTCAAAATATCAGAAATCCCATCAAAACCATNAACACTTTGAGCCCTGAAGATGATCTCAATAAAGATCGAAACGTTGGCACGATAAAGAAAATGTTTTTCTAAAACCTACGTCACACCAGACCGCGCTCACGATCTCCGAATAATCATTTGAGAACAATTAAACTATTAGTTTGTTATAATAATTGATTCGTTTGAGAAAAATTAATAAATTATTTGTTTGTTATAATAATTGATTCGTTTGAGAAAAATTAATAAACTATTTGTTTGTTATAATAATAGATTCGTTCTTCTATTTATTTAATTTTTTGCGTTACGAAAGAAAAGCAAACTATATAATTATATATAACAATATAATTATAAAGTGGTTCCATTTCATAGTTATAAAAAGATTACAAAAACTGACAGTTCAAAAGTGGATTCTGAAAATAAAAAGCAGTTCCATTGCATTTACGGCAAATGAAATTTTGTTGTAATACATATATATTGCAAATACATATAGTTTTGAAAATAATCCAAATTGAAGAAATTCTCATTTTCTTAAATTCTCCTGTGGAACGGAGTTTGGCGTTAAGATGAGCATGAAATTTCTTATTTATTTTTTAAGCAGTGTTCAAGTTGTGCATTATCTCACCACAAATTTATTACCGATCATAAAATAATCATGATCAAGCGTTTTAATAGATTTTTAGTTGTATAGTTTTAAAATAAATACTACCTCATGGGTAGAGGTGGCCTCGATTTCAGTGAGACCGGCCACCGTCGGTGTTCTGAGGGGGCCAGAATCTTCTCTCAATTCGAGAAATCCGGAAGTAGGGTTGAGTAAGTCTCTTATGTTTTCGTTGTACAGCTCTAGATATGACATTTTCACCTTAAATAAATAAATAAATCACATTGATTTATAAATGAAGATTTTATGATAAGAGCGTGGATGAATAGCGCACCTGGTACTTGTCCTCGTCGTTTGAGACGGATGTGAAAAGATCGTTGAGAGCCCTAACCATAATCCCCGGCTGAGCTGCCGTCCCGACCATGGTGTGCGTCTTTCCTGCCCCAGTAGCACCGTAGGCGAAAACGGTGGCGTTGTAACCCAGGAGGACGTCCCTGACCAAACCGCGAGTTGTCGCAGCGTAGACTTCCTCCTGAAATGTCACCGTAATTAAGGCAAATAAACACTACACACACTACACGTCACATGCTAATTTTGAACATTTTGAATTTAAGAAAAACAACGGTTGCCAATGAAAAATAATTTGATTAAAAAATCAAAAACGTAAAAATTACTACAACAAAACTAATCTTATTTGAAATAAAAAGCTTATATCCGTCGTTACCTGTAAAACAGGGCTTCCTAAACTTTTTAACCAGTGAACCCCTTTTGCAGAACAAAATTCAGGGCGGTTCCCCTCGCATTCAAGTATTTAAAATTAGATACTTATAGTACATGTAGTAAATTAAAGTTTTATTAACTAGCCAGTCGATTCCTCAATAGATGATGGAGAGGGATATCATAATTTTTTTGCCTTTGCTTCTTTGGCTCAAAGACAATCTGTTTCCCTTTCTGATCAAATTTTTAAGTCCGTATCCCTAAGAAAATCCAAAACGGCATTGTACACATCCAAATCATTTAATTGTTGTACGGATTTATAATTAAACCGCTTGATCAGCTTTTCAATTCTGTACAGCCTGTCCAACATCTTTGTTCTTTCATTATTATACTTTTTGCATTTCATTATGAGATGTTCCAGGTCTTCACTCTCTTCGCATACTAAACAGTTCACTCTGTCTTGCCCTATTTTCTTCAAATATGTTTCTCTTATTCCGTGTTTTGACCTGATTTATTGTAGTGCACTCTTTTTTAGACATTGGAAAGTTAAGGAACCTCCTGCTAATCGTCGGGTTTATATCCTGGTAAAATTTACCAGTGGAGTAGGAGTCTAGTTGCTTGTTCGACGTGTCATATACTTCCTTTTTCAAACTAACTTTGAACTCCCCAACTGTGATGAAGGATTTGATTATAGATATATAATTTTGATATAGATATCACTATGAAAACAAACAACATTATTTACAAAATCCGGAACACAAAAATCAATAGGTATATAAAACCTAAAAGTAATTTGAAAATTACTGATTAATGAATTAATGGGAAGAGTGAGATTGTTTGAGCCTGCACAATTTGGATAAGTTGGATTTAATTTTTGATAGGTGGAGACGGATGTCCGGTTCAGCATCTGAACAGTTTCGGTATTTAGTTATGGTGGCTGTATCGACAGAAAATCCGGATTCGCTAGGTAAGTTTTGGCAAATGGAAGAAGAACACTTAATTTTTTCAACGAGTGGTTGAAATTTTTTGTTTTCCAGATGGAGTCAAAAATGGAGGTATCGGACTCAAAAGTAGATTTCAAGGTCTAAAGTAATTTCTATCAAACATTAGTTTTCACTTGAAGATAGACTGGTTGGCTTAGTCGAAATTGAAAACGGATTGACGACCCGACCCATTCATGGTTTACCAGCAACCCGAGCTGTTGAGAAGTAGTGTTCAAAGTACATCTCTCAACTTCGAAGATGTTCACATATTTCATCAATCAACGTGCCGTTGGCAAGCTCCAGTTTGTTTTCTTTTAAAAAAATCATAAAACACTCCATCTCTTCTTTTTAAACAGATTCAACCCAAAACTTATTCTTCTTTTGAAAGTGTGAATTTTGTCATCAGCTTGGAAAGTTGTGTTACTCTTCTCTTGCAAAACTGTCAGGGTCATGATTGACTCACTAATCCCCTGACATTCTCCCTTATCACTGACGCCTGCCCTACACGGATTGTTCAAGGAAAAAAATAAACAGTAAGCTGGACATCCGTGTAGGAAAGAGCCTTTTCGTTGATTAAGGGTAGGGTAAGATTGATTACTTTATTAGCTCTCTGTGTTTTTTATGCCTGCACATTATCTTTACCTCCTTACAAAGGATTTAATTAATTTGGAAAACTTATGCCAAAATAGAATAGTAATTTTAGTGTATGTTAAATGGCAAAAAAGGGAATTTATTTTATTTTTTTAACCCTGGTTTTAAAAGGGGCCCTTTGTCACAAATGGTAGCAGAGCAAATTTTCTTTCCACAGTCATCTTTTTTTTTCTTTTTTCGAGAAGTGAGTTTATTTATTATTTTATTTTTCCCTTAAGTTTAGCGTAAGAACCTATAACCTTTTTTCTCTCTTTTTTCCCACAAAATTTCATTCATTTATAAAATGACAACAGTATGTGGGTTTTGTTACAATGCGGCCGCAGAAATAAAAACATATTCTAAACGCAGTAAGTGCACTCGGAGTTTTCATTTTGAATGCTCGCGAGTAGAGTCCCGAGAAACTTGGATAAAAAAATAAAGATACACGGGATAAGTGGAAATGCGATTTGTGTATGGAAAAACAAGCCCAGGACGCGTTGAATTCTAAGTTATCGAGTGAAATCGAAAATTTAAAAAAAATAACAACTCAAAATGCGAAAGACATTAAAGATGGCAACAAAAAGGTTGAAAGTAAGATTGATAACTTAACTGCGGAGATAGCAAAATTAACTACCGTGCTTACTCAAATCGCGAGTAAAGAAATAACGCAGATAAAAGTCCCGCAAAATGATTCGGCGGATTTAGTGCACGAGAAAATCGAAGTAAAAGAGACAGCAATCATAAAATCACAAACCTCAATAAGAAAATTACCGCGATATATTGAAAACGAAATGGAAAAAATTCCGAAACTTTGGCCGGACCAACCGTGGTCAATTATAAACTTTATGACGGGCTGTACCAAATTAACGAGATAGATAAAGACCTTTTTCCGGATATCTTTAAACGTACGGCCGCAATTCAACGTAACTCCCTTTTAAGACGGTTGGCGAGTTCGGAAGAATTGACCTTTTTATCAGTATTCTAATTGAGGAATTAACAACACAATAAACAAAAATTATGTTTATATCAAAAAAAGTGTTACGCCCACAAAGGAAATTTGAGACTGACTGAATTTCAGAAGCTTTACGGAAGAAATAATTAAGTTTTCAAAAATTTTAACCGAGTGAAATTCTAATGAGTCTCCTTCAAAGACTCATCGCATTCATTTTAAAGAAAATATTTGATAAATACGACAGTACACATTGTCATTTCTCATCATTGAAAATGTTGGCCAATTTGACCTTGTGTATATATATCCTAGCAAATACAGTGAACTTGCTCTTCAACCCGTCTAAGTTAACTATTTAGAATCTACTCAGCCGACAATCCAAATTACCATTAAAATCAAAACTTTCGACATACACATACGTCCTCAAATCTCTTTGAATTGCCAAGCTTATGGATCGGCCAAATATTACAAAGTTTTCAATCCAAAATTTTAAGACTAATAGTTTCTGCCTCTTTTTACATAAGTCGTAAACAATGACACACCTCACCGAGATCTTCACATGCCAAAATTTTTTTCATCCATCAAAACATATTACAGACGTTTTCATAGTCAATCACACTAACACACAACTACAATTACTCCATTACCCACACCTCGCAAACGTTTTAAAATAATCTGGATAAGATATCTCTTAAATGATTAATATAATTTTATTAATCCACAGCGGCTGCCAATGGGTTAAAATGTATTCATTCTACGTTTATTTTTGTGATTATAATTTTTTTTCGAAGATCGGACCACAGTTTGGGAAACCCTCCTGTAAAGGAAACGATGGATTACGGGATACGCATAAAACCTGCAGCAGTTAATACACACCACTTTAGAATATAACACAAACGAAAACAGAATAAAACTAATAATTTTAATGAACAGATACCTAAAAACCTAAAAGTCTAGGTATTGGCAACCCCACTTCAGCCATACTCGCAGAAATGTTTTACAGAATTTTGGAAATAATTACTTTATGGCATACAGATGCGTTTTGACAGACTCGCCATATAGTTCATCAACACCAGTATAAATCACATATGAGGACACTAACATATAAGAATGTTATTGTGTGTTTTACGAAAAATAGGCGAGACAAGGCTTGACAGACTGAAATGATCGAAAATGCCCGTACATCACCCACAGACTTCAAATGTCGGTTTTCAATAATTGCGACCGAGATTTTGCGAATTTGAAGAGAAAAATTCATCATCAGGCTAGGATTTATCCTTCGTATTAAAAGATCATCAAATTCGAATACATTCAATGTAAAACTTGTTACTCATCAAGATGTGGCAGCATTTAAGACTTGGTGGCTTGACTTCAAAAAGAAAGTCTTTTCAACTCGAAGTTTTGGCCGAGCAGTGTCTAGCAAAGAAAAGTCATAATAAGCATTACGAATTTGAATTTACAAGTTAAGAACCAAAAGTTGTGATAGCAAAACTCTTTATGGCAAAAGAGCGGTTTCGCTTAGTGAAGAAACCACAAGCTGACCCCTCACTATTCATCCCAGATTCATCAAATAATCCATCTTAAACCGGGAAAATTCCTGTAAATGTTAAATTTAAAACAGTTATACCAATAATACCAGATACACTCCTAATGCCTACATCGCAAAATCTATTCATAAACTCCAATCTGTAGAATTTAAATTTCTTAGAATTCTTGCCTTTAAAATAGGAGTAACTATTATTTACTATACAGTACTTTAATGTTCTTCCCTTACAGACACGTAGATGTCGCTCTGATTTACGTACTTTTTTTCAAAATAATTAACTATTATGTATATTAACAGTCCTTTTTTATTTAGTCAAATTAATTTTTCTGTACCGATTTACTTTACCAGGCTTTTCACATTTCCTACCATTCTACTAACACAATAAAAATCCTAATAACAATAAAATGTTTTTCATATGAATGATTTACTCGCACTTCTACATGTGTATGTATGTATATCTATTTCCTTATTTAACTGTAAATTATGTCAAATTTTAACTGAATATAATTCAACGAGGTATGCATAAAATACTCTTTTTTTACTTACTTATATATTTTTATAAAATATTTTAAAGTATGTTATGTTAATGACAGTTTAAAAATTTACAATAACAATAATAATTGTGATCTTTTAAGTTATATTTATATGAAACATTCTTTTAAGCTATTTTTCTATACATTTTTTTTACATATAGTTTAAAACTTAAGTAATTTTTCTTTGTTTTCTTAGTTTTACTTTTATATTGTTATATTTTATGTATTGCCTGTTTTGTAAATTGGATTAATTCCGTAAAGTATGTATTATTATTATTATTGTACACAAGGAATTTTACGACAAGATCAAGCTTTAGCCCACCACGAACGATGAAGCTCCTGAAGCATTTTCATACTTTTTTCTTTACACGGGCATACTTTCCAGCACCATCATGCCGTTATCAAGATTTTTTTGTGAGTTCAAAATATATATTTGTGGATTTTAAAATAATGCAAATACAGATTTACAAAAAATTTGTGTTGTGCTTTTGAAAACTCAAGTTCACTTTGAAAATGGGTCATCGCTCTTCTGAAAAATTAATTTTCTAATGTACTAGAACGGGCAAACAACTGCCCAAAACAAAGATTTTATATCCCACAAGACCCTTGCTAATAAAAAAAGATTCGTAACAATTCTAAAAAAATTTAAAATTTATAGAAGTTTTTTGCTTCTCTTGTAAAATTTGAAAAGTGAGAGACAAAACGACCTTAATTGTTGTTAATAAAAGTTTTATATTTGGAAAAAATTGCATATCTGTGAAGCGATTATGGACATCGATTAATTGGTCAAAATTACATGCTTGCGATAAAATTGGCAGTTGCGGACAGCAGTAAATCCACTAATATGATAAATATTTATCAAGAATACGAGTCCGACATCTTAAAGAAGTCCCTGAAATTAGCATGAATGGTCACGAATGTTGTTAGATTAAATTCAAGGCGGGAAAGCACATCCTTCACCTTTTCTCCTTCGCGTGACTATTGACCGGATAGCAATCAAGCTGAATAGTGCCAAAGGGGTGCGGTTCGGCGGTCGATTACTCTCCGCACTTTCAATGTCACCCTTGAAACTTAATTTTTGTAGTTAATTGATTAAAGTCAGCAGCGGTTTCGAATAATTAGACCCAGCCGTTAGAAAATGAACACAGCCCTGTTTGCATGCGCTCGAAATGTTTTCGTGTTATTTCGGTCCGTCCTTGTCGGAATACGACTTGAACCGATTAATCACACTCTTAATTTTCGATAAATGACCCGACTTGTGTGGCTTGCTCGCGTCTATTGAATTGACCCCGGTATTTTTAAAAGCCTTTTATTTCAAGGGTTCCGACATCGGTAAATTTCGAGTTTGAAACAAAAAATTGCATGCAATAAACACTTCAAATTGTAAGGTCACACACAGTTTATTTTACAGAGTTGCCATGCCAATTTATAACCGTGAATCAAATATTACCAAAAAATAAACAACGATAATTTAAAAAATATTTACTTGGGTGGAATTTTCCCCGAAGGCGAAGTCATAAGTGTACTGCTTGTCGGAAGGCCTCTTATGTCGCAAGACGTCTTTCTTGTCCGTTTCATCGTCCAGTACAATCGTCTGAAAAAAAATTAAGACTAGCTGGAAGCATCCAGTATTTCATACAATATTCCATAGAATATACATGTAAAACTATGGATCTACTCCATCCAAATCGATATCATGTTTAGTAAGGTACTGATCCTCATAGGACTTTGCATTAACCCTACTAAGTAAGGACGACAGTCAAATTGCGTTTTTGTTTTTTTCAAGGAGAGAATTTTCAAATTGTTAGTCAAATTTTGAGTCAAATTTTTAATTCCTTCGTTAATGTTTGTTCCCTTGGCCAATAACGTGTTTATTTGATAATTGGCGTATTGAATGGGTATGTACATTTTCATTCAGGTCTAAAATGACAAGGCGTTGCGGTTGCAATCCAGCCACGTTTCGTCAGTTCAGGGTGAGCACACGTTTTATTTTAAATGTCATCTCTCAACAAACTACAACTATTAACTGAGTGAGCTATGCTATTCTACCATAATTCAGAAGTAGAAAAATTAATAGAAATGATAAAGGTGGGGTGAGTATGTAGATTCACGTTTTGTAAGTGATCGTTCTACAGATTTAAATATATATTTCAATTAAATATAAATACATACTGCATATTTAAATCTAAATCTGTGAGTAGAACCATCATTTACAAAAAGTAGAAAAAATTATTTCTCTCAATATTCTTTTTTAAATTATCTTCATTTTATCATTTTCAGTCTATAAAAAAATAACCTTTCCATGTTTTAACTGTATCTCAAAACAAAGCTAGTTTTTGTCATTTCGCTTTTTTTCACATTCTTCTGAACGATGTCAACTGCAGAAGTAGTAAATTGTCGAAATGCACTTTGTACCAGTGAACGGCAGATAAGACAGATTAGGCGAACCGAGATTATGAACGGCTCGCTGCTCAATCAACTAGCCTTCACAATGCAATTTTTACATTTTATTTTAAAAATAAATACTGAAAAAAATTGGTTGTAAGTAGAATACGAAAAGTCATAGATCATTTAGAAGTGACAAAAATATCATTGTCTTTGAAAATCTGTAAAAAATTCTATTTTGTATGGTTTTCTAAATACGGCTTTACTAAGAACATCATGAAGTATATTTGAATTATCTCATTAAAACTTGAGAAATCTTTTAAAAATATCAAAAATGAGAGAAAAAAATTCACGGCGTTTGTTAAATGAAGAAAAAAATTTTATATAACTGCATAGCCTTCAATGATTCAACAACTGTTTAATAATGTAATTACTAATAAATCGTCCGACTTAGTATTATAAAATTTTATAACCTACAAAATCATAATTAAAACCTATTATTTTGCTTCCGAATCATAAAAATTCGGCTTACCGATGAAGACAAATAAATTTATAAAACGAAAATATGATTCGGATAAATACCTGACCACCATGGTCGTAAGTACTACCAAAAAAATGCAATTGCACATAAATCAGGGCTCTATTTATAACTATTGAGTTTGCCTCGATTCATCATCTTTTCTATCTCATTCAAACCCCGCCATTTAAAAAACAATTGAACAACTTCTAAGATAGCTCATTTGCGTTGCCTCTAAAGAAGCTAAAGAAGAAAGAAGATCGTTCAGGCTCACAGTTTTTCACTTATCAAAAGGAAAACAATACCAAATATGTAATAGAACTATAAATTGTTTTATATGAAACGATTAACGATCATATATGTCTTTTTTTTAACTGAACTCTTCCAAAAGTCTACATCATGAAGATAGCTGCTTCATTTATAATTTTTATTATGTATAATTATTTTTTCTTTTTTGTAAAGTCTTGGTTAGCAAAAAAGTTCTGTCACGAGCGGATCCGAACCTACGACCTTATATGCTATTATGCTCAATATGCCGCTGCTCTAACCACTTGAGCTATCGTGATATCAGGTGAGCCGAATGTCGATGGTTCGAGTCCCGCTCGTGACACTAAATTTTTCATCTCAACCAAGACCTTACATAAAAAATGAATAATTAATTGAAATAAGTAATTTGTTCAATTAGACCACTAAACTAAGCAAATGGATTATATATAATTTAGGAGTACACATCAATATGTGAACTGGAAAACGTTCATATTTTTACATAATTTTTTTCTCGTAAAGAATAAACCGGTAAGGACAAACGACCTATTAACTGAAAAGAGTAATATTACGTTAAGTTAGGCAAAAATTATTAAAAATTTACAGAGGGAATTTTTTCTGTAAATGGATGAATAAATTAAAACCGGAAGGGAAAAAATCGCTATCGATTGACAATCCACGAATTACTGGTCAACAAACTACGAGACCCGATTTAAAATTAATGCCCGTGTCATTTAAACTATACCGGAATGGAAATATAATTCGTGATACGGGCAAAAGAAATTGCGATATATCCGACTCTCTTACGTGATCATCGATGACGTGGATGATCCTCTCCCCTTCATCTTGCTTCAAAGGCCGGACTCTCACAGCTACCTGCAACAAATATGAATACATCAATAAAAAACGTATATTAATTAAAATACGTTAGCCCTCAAAAATGAAAATTTTAGAACTGCTATTTGTATCGAGAAAAAATTAAGAAATAAACAGTGTTCAAAGATCTTTAGAACCCTGATTCTACAGTAAATGTTAAAATTATTATTTTTATTGTTATATTTGATTTTACAAGGCAAACTGAAAACCGCTTTAAGTCGTTTAATTTGTATGTCAAATCAAAACAGTCGTGCATAATATTTTAACGTTGATTGCATCAAAAGCGTTGTTCAAACAAACATGCGTCTCTTATTAAAAAATAAATTCATAAACTGTAATGATAAAAGTCATAAAATATAAAAGTCTTCATGTAGGTTTGAGATATAAAAACAACTCCGTGCTTTCAGCTACGTACACATGAAGTATTATTATCGAATGGTGGATTAATTGCACACAATGATTAATTGTTTTAATTATCGACCATCTAAAATACCTTTATCAATTCCCAGGGAGATTATTTCGTTCTGGTTTATAACTGTTTACGTTTTTAACAAAATTATATATACAATATATCATTTTTTCACTTATAGCTATGTACATGTGAGAATAAATATTATAATTCATATATATTTATCGGTCATAATTGATCATATTAATTATTTCAATTAAATACTTTTTTATCTAAGGGCTTGGCTCATAAAAACCCAAATCGTGGTTTCGAATCCCGCTCGTGAGACTAACTTTTTCATCTCAACCAATGCCTTAGATAATAATAAGTATAATATTTCGGGGCTCACAGGTCCTCTCTTCAGCAATAACTTTCGCCAGCCTGGAAGGATGTTGGATGAAGGTTGAATGAAGGACTTCGCGGAATGAAGGACATGAAGGATGAAAGACATCCTTCCATGCTGGTGAAAGTTATCACTGAAGTGGGGACGTGTAAAATATTTTCCATATATGTAAGAGAGCTGGTTTTTATTGCTCCAAGTTTTTAACAAACCTGACGACTGATTATATGAACAACAACAAGGAGGAAAAATTAACACAATTATAAGCTTTTAAATTATCAAAATCTTTAAACGGCACAGTGTACTTTTTATAATAAATGACAACAGTAATTTATATCAGCAATAACACTAGACACGCTTGTTTAAAAAACCAGTGACGATGTCTGTTTAAATTGCAAATTAAGTCTTTTAAAAGGCTAAATCAGGCGTGATTAAAGCTTTTCCCCCCTTAAAGTAGAAATAGATGGAAATGAAAGACCATTTTTAAAGTGTTTATCTTTCCCTAGTTTCCAAACCTTGAAAAGTTTTAATATGATTATGACTCACGAACACCGGGTATTAAGTTCGGGGATTCGCGTGCTAACTCCCCCACAGAGCTACGAATTGGCAAGGTGTTTCTCCTGCGAAAGTTGTGGATGAAATTTTTCCCCAAATCCAAAAACAACACACTTCTAAATGAAATATTGACGACGTTGTTTACTGAAGGACGGCTTAATTGCTATGACATGAAAGGTCACGAGGATTTCCCTGAACATGACCTTACTCAAGCTCTCTTTTAGTGAATGTTTCCGTTTCCGAATGAATTTTATTAATGTACATATACATTCGTTGTTGTGAATATCTCTCTGGTTACAGTGAAAATGGGTCCAAAATAGTAATTTTTGGGAGATCACTTGTACTTATTATTTATTTGCGGATACAATTTCCCAATAAGATCCCCTAAACTTGCATCCCATTTGAATTAGTTTAGTGGCCGTGGTCCGCCGGTATGGGGTCTCCCTTAGGTACGGCGGGGAGGTGGATGGGAAAAAAAAAAAAAGATACAATTTCCCACGAATGTTTTCCGATTCTTTCAACACTTTAGCTTCCTGAAGTGGTTCTCTCACTTTTCACTGCAACCACAGATTTATTTCACTAAAGCCAACTTTTTTTATATATAAAAAGGCTAGGTTCCTTCGTAATGAAGGCTCAATTGAAAGCATTTTAAAAATGTATGCTAAAAAATTTGGGCTAGGTCAATTATATACTTAGCTAAAAGACAGAATTATTTGTTCAAGTAATATCCAGTCTTAGTCATTTCATCAAATCGAAAGTTCCCCTATTAAAAATCAATGGAATAAAAAATTGTCTTCCTTCCTTTTTTATCGTTATGCTCGCCTTTTGTTATCGATTAATACATTAAAATGTCTGATTTTGAAAAATAGTGAACAGCAATACAACTTACACTTTACAACCGACATATGACCTGAAAAAAATATCTGCCTGTTAACAATCTGATATCCGATAGTTCCTGAGATCCACAGCAGGTAAATAAATAACGATAAATTCTAATTTGACAAAAATCGTTGGTGAATTTAACGAATCTATATGCGGAGAAAAATGTACGAGTGCGAAGTGCGAGTTTGGCTTGATTCTCCTCGAAGTCATTAAGTACAAATTTCTTCTTATCCAGGCGCTTGAAACCTCCCACTCACGACAAATCTGTCGTGCATGTTTAGCGTCCAAAAGCGCCGTATTCCTTCGCTTATGCTTATTTTCTCGTGGTTGTCGTATAGACCCAATTGAAATTTTAGTAGAAATAATAACAAAAATAATAAAGATTTCGTTTATCCGAAAAACAGTGGCAAAAGTTTTTTGTGAATAAATTAAGAACGGTTGCTCCAAACTAAATAGTTGCACCATTAAATTCAGCATCAAACATCATTTCAAAAATGTACATTTTCGAGTATACCATATTAAATTATTAAGTTCCTATCCTCAAGAAATAATTAAAACTAAAAGTTCACGTGTCTTGAAGTTTATTTTTCACAAAAAAGCCCTAATAAAAAATATATGGAGGGAACAGAAGTTAATCTTAACCTGTATACGTATTTAAGAATGAAATTCTTACAGTAGTTTCTTAATGTTACACCATATCGCCATTATAATGGTAGTTCATACTAAAAATAATAAAATGTACTGAATTTATAAAAATTGACAAAACGTTGCAAGACTTATACAAAATACAGGTAAGAATGGCCAATCCTTTCATCCTTTTTACTAAAAAAAAAAAAAAACAACTGGTCGATTATTTTAACAAACACGTATCTGGTTGAAATGTTTATATATACAGGGTGTATCAACTTCTATAGTTTATCCAATTAATTCGGAAACGATTAACTTCCGCAAAAAATGATCTTATACAAACCCCAAGTTAATTTTGGCTAAGTAACGCCTCCTCGGTCACCCGATTTAACTCCACTTGATAATTTTCTGTCAAGCCATTTAAAAAACAGCGTCTACGCTAATCATAACCCAGAAATCTCAGTTGAAGAACTGCGGCAAAGGTCAGAAAATGTTAGTCAATCCATCTCCTCTGATTCTATTGCTCTGAGCACTGAGGAAGGGTGGTTAAAAAGCGTAAATCTTTGCATCTTTACGCAAGGCAGGCAGTCCGAAAATGAAATATGAATAATAAATAGCAAATCAAATGACTGTTTTCTTTACTAATCTTTAGGCCATAAGTGTTTAATTTTTTTACCAATTTAAAATTCGATTGCACTATTGTTTTCAGCGTAAAAAATCCTTTAAAATGTTATGTCAAGATGTATAATGTTGTATTTGAAATTTTGAGGTTGAACTGGGCCTGAGCTATCCTGCATAATTTTTCTTCAAAGAAGGTACAAATTTAAAACTACACTAAAAAATATTAAACAAGGGTCTTCTACAAAGGACTCCCCCGGTATATATATAAATATATATATGGGATTCATATTCATTAATACATATATGTATTTAGTAGTCACAATTGAACCCATTAATTATTTTAATTATCTATACGTTTTATATAATGATTTTATCTAAGTCGAAGATCGTAGGGTTCGGATTCCGCTCAAGACACTAGCTTTTTCATCTCAACCAAGACCTTAGATAAAAAGTATTATTAGTTAAAAATGTATTTATGTTAATCTAAATGCAAAATAGTCTACCAACAAATGACCTCCAATCAGTAATCTTGGTTAACAGTAATTACTGTATGACTATTATGAAAATATAGTTAAAAAAACATCCTATACCATTGTATACGGTACTCTACTGTATGGTCTGTATTTTTTTTTTTTTTTTTTTTTTTTTAATGAAGGTTGAATAAAACCATTACTTGCCGATTTCCCCCCCTCCATTTTTTCATAATAACGACAACTTCAGACATTTTAAAACAAAATCATCACTTTTTTCACTTTTTGTACATAAATAATGGTTCCACTCACAAATTTGTTGGTTACAACGATCCTACGAACCTGGTTTCAAGCATTAAACACATAGTCAGGTTGAATAAATTACAAACACGTCTATGGACATGACCACCTTTATTATTTCCAATAAAACTTTCAATTGTGTCTGTACGACAAACAGGAGAAACTTAAAATTAAAATAAGCATGAGCGTAGGAATACGGCGCTTTTGGACGCTAAACCTGCATGACATATTTGTCGTGTGTGGGGGGGGTTTCAAGTGCCTTGCTAAGAAGAAATTTCTACTACTTAGGGACTTTCTTCCTTCGAAGAGAACCAAGCCAAACTTGCACTTCGCACGCGTATATTTTTCTCCGCTTCGCGAAAAACCTTGAATCGTGGATTCGTTAAATTTACTAACGGTTTTGGTTAAATTAGAATTTATCGTTAACGATCCCAAATTTGAAATTGGACTAACCTCGGGCATATGCACATTTCCCAGATTTGTCCACCCAAAATGAGGCGATTTTTTAATTTATTTTTTCTATATCAACCCTAACAATCCAAGTTAAACAAATCTTGTTTAAAGTTAATCAGTTCAATATTTGAAATTTTTATTTTTAAATGTGTTTATTCGTTTTGAAATGACCTCCCACCGCCAGGGAAGCAGTAATGCTTACCATAAGTTTTTCATCGGTTCCTTGCGTGTTGTTTTGCGGCGTGTAGCCGTTGGAAGGGCCGTTGGCGAGGTGCATGTCTTCATGTTTGACCGACGACTGGTCCCTGCGAGAGCCCTTCACGGGCCAAATTTGTTGCCATAGCCGCCGATCATGTAAACAGAATCGATCTACCGACGAGTCCGCAACTTTTTCCCGACCGTTTGGCATAATTGCCCTGTGCCAAAGCTCGCCAGACTCGGTTTAAAAGAGGCCAGCGTGACTCTGGAGTGTCAATCGACGGCAATGATTGACAGCTGGACACGCCTATAAAAATCGTTTTCGCATTAAATTTGTATTAACTGTCACCATGCGATATATTTGAAAAACTTCCGCCTTTTCAATTATAGATTATTACCTGCGTAATATTTAATATGTATGTTTACCGTAGGAAACTGGATTTCCATACACTACGATTATAAACTGCGTAAAAGATTATGCGATTTGTTTATTTATTTAAATTATAAACGTATTATTTTATTTTATTCGTTTTACGACAAGTAGCGGTTGTAATATATGACCATATTTTAACTTGAACTGGGTTGGTGACCCCCACAAATAAGTATATAAATAGTTAAATGATATTAGAAAGAACTAAGCTCACCCACAGAGAAAAGTGTTTACATCAAGCAAGATCATCAGATCGCTTTTTGTTACACAAAAATTTAAACCCGTAATCCAATCTATTCATTGCCCAAAGAAGTAACCACCCCTTAGATTATCTGATCTTCGCTGGTGCTAAAAGTAAGGTGTGAGCAAGTGTATTAAAATGGAGAGAGGTTGGAAGAAAACAATGTTTGTCAAGGAAATTTTTAAAAAATCATCTTCATTTTGTTGCTGAGTGCACTTTGCTGACCGAGTTTCGCCTTTTGTATATGGGGCAGCGAAATTGGCTAGAGCTCAGCTGCTTTGCCTACTGAACTCGATAAATGTTCAGCGTTAGGCATTTTCTCAATAAGCATGTGAAGCATGGTTTTACAGATACAAACTAGCAGAACTTTGAAAATTGAGTTTTTCTCTTAGAACAAAGAGATATACGTTTATTTTTATTTTTATATATTTTGTTTGTTTTTTATTATATAAATCGGTAACGTCTTAGTTCATAATTTTATGTATGGTATTTTCATTGTTTTTCTTATATCAACACGCCCTGAATTGTTTTTTTAAATCTTTGATTGTTGGTTTTGTTTTTTATATGACAAAGTTTTGGTTGGCTTCTGGCAGACGGTCTTTTCCATGCCCTTATAGCATGCTAATAATTTGGACATTGTAGTTTATTACCCAGAAATTTGTATTTTCTTTTATTTCATTTTTCCACTCTGGCAGTCTCAGATACAGCACTTTTGTATTTGACAATCCATCAACTTGAAGTCCTGTATAATAATCTTAAACATTATATTTCAATAAGAAATTGGTTTGTATCAAACTACACTGATGAACAAATTTAACAAACCACTCAACTTATTTAATTTAAAACTAAATCCATTACCTTTCTACATTAGTAGTTAGTAATTAGGAGCTATTGTAGTTAAAATAAACAGTAAATAATGATTTGTTTACTTTGGTACACATTAATCCCATTTGCACAAAAAGTAGCATTATAACTTCTGCTTTTAGTTAATCTTTTTCCTTAATTGATTTTTATTTGGTATTATTCTTATTTTTAAACCTTTTTCAATGGCTTCAGTCAAGCATTTGAGTAAGTGTGAAGGGTCGGGGTCATAAAATTATTAGAGGAAGGATACAGCCAATGCGAAGTCGCCAGGGGACAGAGTGTAAATCACTTTAGAATAGGAAGGGTTCTTTGGTGCTTCACACTAGAAGGCCATAACAGGGTCGACCTAGGCCTACAGATGAGAGGGAAGATGTATTCATCCATCACCAGGTTCTATGAAACTGCAACATTAATGGCAAATAAATAACTTCAACTTCAATGCCCAGCAACCTTTTCTTACCACACTCAGAAAAGGACCGACTGAGTTAAAGTCAGAGTTGGCCTCCAAACTTCAGATGGGTGTAATTTCATAGGGGGACAGGAGAAACATACACTGCATGGTTCCGCAGGTGGCATTCCAGTGGGTCATAGGTGTTCTGGGGTGGCATTTTCTTGGATGCTTGCAGTGAATTGGTTGTTGTGCGAAGAAGATCTCTAACTTCACATGTTACTTACAAGACATAATCGATGGAAACATAGTGCTATTTGCCCCCCCCCCATCAGTGAGAATTACTAAGGCATGCCAGGCACCATAAAGTATGTATTGTGGATGACTACCTTAATGGAATTGAGTGCTTCGTGTGGCCAGCTCAAAGTCCAGATTTGAACCCAATGGAACATATTCGGGACCAATTTAAATGACGAGTACGACAGCGAAAACCAGGTCCTAACACTGTGGAAGCATTGGACAAGGCTGTTCTTGATGAATGGGAAATACTCAATATTAAACAGGAATTTTTTTTACATTTTTTTTTTGTTCTTTACTCTTTTTTTTAAATAAACATGTTTTTTAATAAACATGTTTTTAAATATCTTATTTTTACAACCAAACCTATTTGTGGTATACAAAATATGAATAAATCTAAATACATTAAAAATTGAAGGTTGGTGCGATAATTTTTTATATCAGTGTATTTATCAATAAGAAAAGTAAAACATCTGATTCATTGTTCAAATTATAAATTCAACTTATCAAATCAGTTTATTTTTCATTCACAATTTTTGAAAAAATCTTCAAAAGATTGATGTGATTGTGATAGAATTAAATTTGTTCACACCTGTAAATATTTTGATATTACTTTGCATAAATATTGAAACACATCAGCCAATTATTATTTCAAATTTCGCATTCTTAAAAATATTTTTGATTTTCATACCATAAAAATGGAAATTTTGCACTTAGCCAGTCTCTTCTGACGTATGAAATCGATTTACGGGGATTCTGCTAAGAAAACTTCAATTTCTCCCCTCCATGTTGCAACACTGCAATGACAATTATCCTACATAAAGAATGAATTTATAATTCAGTTCACTTTTTCAAAAATCTTTTCGTATTTAGTGAAAAACAACTTTTTACTTACTTGTCTGTTGTTCTTAAATTTAATACTCATATTTCTTACACAAATACCTGTAATAAAAATGCTAATTTCAAGTTACCAGTCATTAGAACTGATTTTTATTACAGTCATTCGTGTATCATAGCTATACAATGTACTCAGAAAATTTGATTTTAAGTCCTGTAACAAATACAAAAAATGTATTTCAAAAATTATAAAATATGAACCGATTAACTAATTTTTAAGGTTTTAAACTGTTTTGTTTGTTATTAACAATAGGAAAATGTTGATCATTTTTAAACTGCATACTTATATTACATAACTTACAGATAATAATAATTTATATTTATTGTGATCTAAATAGTAAATAATTTTACACTAAAACTTATATATATATATATATATATATATATATATATATATATATATCAATGTAATTATTTTGTAATATATCATTGGCTCTTTGTAACCACTTCATAATTCTACTGAATGAAGGAAAGGAAAATCCTTTCAGAGGACTGGCCCAAAAGGCAAAAATAGATAAATAAATATGAAGCCAAAAACAAAAATATATTGACACATAAGTTATAGCAGAGCTTTAGAATGAATACAACTGGACTACAAAAATGCTTAAATGAAATGGGGCGTCAGTGATTTAAGATGTTGACACAGCAATCATCACTGAAATGTACATCCAAATAAGTTTTAATCAGTGGAAAGATGTAATAGCTCTTGAATGGTGTATAAATAAATGTATTTTTATAAACTTATTACTTAATTAATCAAAATATGACATATAAATTATTTTGTCTTGTTATGAGATTTGTAGTAAACATAAATAACATTACATATTTTATTAAAAAAGTAAAAAGTGACTAAGAATGAAGCTCAAAACAGCAGGGTTTTGTAATTCCAAGTGCTTATTCCATTAATTCTTCTAACTTCTTGTTTTGGAGCAGGAACCTTAATACTCTCCAACCTACATCTAAGTTAGGTTTTACTGGAAAAACATAAATTTTAATTAATATACACATTTTATATTATTTTTAAAATCTAATTACTGGATTGTACCCACGATCTCATCTATGCTAGATGTCATGGACGTTTTTCAGGAGAATATTTTTCCTTACCCCCCAGGTCACTACAAAAATATAAAAATAAGCAAAATTATATTACTAATAAGACCTAGTACATATACAATTAAGTAGGAATAAATTTAATTTGGAAATGACTTTAAACAAATTAGGCAATTCAAAAATACAGAAATAATATTTTTTTATGCTTTTTTTAATCAAAAATTCTATAGTTTGTAGTCAATTTGTTCAAACATCAATCTCAATAAAGCAATAGTTGAGCCCCTTGCACCTAACTACTCCCTGCCTACAGATTGTACAGTACCAAGTACTTCTCTCATAGCTGATTATTATTCTTTATTTACATCTAAGAGAAAATACATTTTCCAGGTATTATAAGCAGCCAATAAATGATTTTTCTTGATATATAATAACTGGGTTTATGAAGTTGTAATCGTATAAAAATGATTTAGAATGGATTGTGCCTGATTTCAATTTTCTTCAAGGCCAAAAAATTCTTTTCCTGCTTCATGTTTTCAGTTCTTCTGGGTTTTTTCGCCCAATCTTTGTAAAAATTTTTAATCCTTTCTGCCCTCTCTGGTGTCATAGCACCAAGTTTCTTTGTGTTTTCCTTGCTATCTAATGCTGTTCCTGTGCAATAAATAAAATGTGTTAAACTAATTTTATTAAATGCAACAAGTATGTATTACTTTGGTTGATCTCTTTCGCATGATCATGCTTAGAAACATCATATTCCTTTGAGTCTTCGCTATCATTAAATGACACCACTTCTACCATATCAGGCTGAAAAGAAACTCGCTTGGGGTTGATTGGCTGCAAGTAGAAGAATTTAACTTTATTAAATATAATTAAAAAGTTGTTCTACAAATTAGTTATTTTCTTTAAACAAATCAAATTTTTTAGCTATGTTAACTAATCAAACATTTAAATGCCTAATAATACAGTAAGTCACAAAAAATAAGTATTTCTTGCTAATTTGAAAATAATTTTGACACTTTTTTTTTAATTCAAAGCATATACCGTGTTCTATGGTTTGTTGCCATCTTGAGGCCAAGTATTAGATTCCTTCACAATACCAATCTTTGGATTTTGAATGGAAGAATTTTGCAACTCATTTTGAACTTTATCTCACGATATCCAAATAATCTTATCCAGAGAATTAAATGTGTTCCCTTGAAGATAATTAATTGAACCATGGACCAGAACAGATGGTAGTCGGAAGGTGCTAAGTCTGAACTATAACCAGGGTGAGGTAGAAGCTCAATTCCATCCAATTCTGTAACTTTTGTTTTGTGTAACAAGAAGTGTGTGGTCAGGCATTGTCTTGTTAAAACAAAATCCGATTTCTATTTACTAATTCTGGGTAAAACTGGGTCAAAACATTGTACATTTTTGTAACTGCTCACACTAAAGTTTTGAATCAATGGGTTGACCTTCTAGAATGAACTCATAATGAATTTTGCCTTCGTAATTCCAAAATACAGAAAGCATTTTGGTCTAGATTCGAAACTTTTGAAGGAGAGGACATCACCAAATCACTCCCCGAGATTAAATGGTCCAAAATCTTGGGGTTTGTGAACAGGTCCGAGAGGTTTAGGCAAAACACGTGAGTCGACCAAGTCCCGAACCTTTTAGGGTTGGGGTACGAGTCTACCCAGGCATTTAACCCCTCGGGTCTTGGTCACCCACCCTGCATAATATATTGTCTTTTTGACAAATTGGCCTTGTTCAGCAACTGATAGAGCAGGCTGATTGCCTGCAGTCTAGCCATTGTTTCTTGGTATTGGGGTTTCTCAAATATATCCGCTTGTTATCACAAGTAACTATTCTTTTGATGAACCAAAGGTCATTTAGATTTTTCAAAAGGTATTAACAAATTTCTACTTGGCGTTGTGCCTGCTCAATAGGCAGCTCATGAGTTTCACTTCCATTCGCTTTTTCCAAAGTTTTGCAGTCCATCATGGCACATGCCAATCTCTGATTACTTTTCGTTGGGTCAGCCTGAACAGACTCCCACAGAGCTTCCTCGAATGATGATTTTTGTCCAGAACCATCTTTCCACTTGAGGCTAATGTCACTGGCTTCGAATTTCTGGAGCCATCTGCATACTGTCTGTTCAGAGAGAGCATTGTCTTCTTTAAATTGCCACACCAACAGTTGTATCAGAAGCAGAAAAATTACATTTCCAATAATGGTGTAATATTACCAAAATTTCAAATTTTACTGTCATGTTGTTTAACCAAACTCAAGACAAAACTGAAGGCAAGATGAGATAATTTTTTTACACATTCATTTAGTATAGTCTACATATCAAAGTGGTATTGAATCTAAAAAACAAATAAAGCCAATAGGGGAATACAATTTCCAAGAAAATGAAATCAAAAGTCATCATTTTTTATGGCTCACTCTATTATTATTAAAAATTGTATTTAGCATTCAAAATTTATGAATGAAAAAATTTATAGCATCTTCTCAAGAAAAAAAGATTTGTATTATTTAAGGCTGCATTCAAAGTAATGTCTTTGCTGTGTTGTTTTCATTGTTGCAAAAATTTTTCTGTCAACAATAAAAATACCACTAGCCATTTTTGGTAATTCAATGTTTTCAACTTTTGTTAGGTGTTGGTCTGCAAGTCAGTGAACTCATGCTGAACTGGCACTGGATTCTTATTGGGTCCATCTGCACTCGTGGGTTTGTTGGATTACCCAAATGCATTTCAGAATTGCATCATCTTCACTGAGGAACTGCTCTATTCATCCAAGTGAGTAAGTGAGGAGTTCCCCACTGAAGATGGCACAATGCCGAAGCACATTTGAGTAGATCAACAAAGCCACGAGTGAAGACCGACCCAATAAGTGACCTAGTTCCCGCTCCAGCATGAATAAAATAGTTTTTTGAGAATGACTGAAATATCAGTAGAATGTAATTTTGTTTAGGACCATCTTCAACACAAAGGTCTAAAAATAAAATAAAAAATTCATTCCATAAAAAGAAAAAGGACAAAGGACAAAAAAGCAGAGTAAAAAAAATAACTAAATTTTAATTAGACAAATACAAATCATGAGAGAATGAAACCCAGTAATATACTACATAGAAAGAGTTACAGTTTTTCTAGTAGCATAAACTATAAAACTTAGGGGTGTCGGTGGCCACAACGATTTAGGCGTTGACATGGCGCTCATCACTGTAAGGTCCTGGGTTCGAATCCAGTGGCCCTGCATTCGAATCCGACATACTTACAAATGGGCTTTTTTTCAAAAACACCGGCACCCCGAGGGTTGGTATGACCTCTGCTGTTGCGAACCCTCGTTAAAAAAAATAAATAATAAAAAAACTATAAAACTTATACACATGTACATTTCCTTGCGTTTTCTGTCAATTTTGCATTTCTTAATATTATATTTACCTTTTTCCCCTTAATGAATTCCCTTTCAATATTAACTGATGAGATCTTCAGTTTTAGTTGCATGTTTTTCTCGTTGCTTTTTTTCTTGTCAGTTTTTTTCTTCGTTACTGAATGCTTTCTTGCTGCCGGTGATTTTCGTGCAGGGTGTCTTTTTGAAACCGATGGAATCGGTGAGTGTGAAGATGAAGAGTCAGAAAAAGCAGTTGGGTTAGTTCTACTTGTCGTAGGTTTATGCCTTGTAAAAAAAAGTTTATCTCTAATACAATTTACATTAATAGCTAATCAAATCTTTATTTTACCTGTTACTCTTTTTGTTCGATGGGCCATTAGGTTTTAATGCTTTTGTAGTTGTCACACTGTTTTCTTCCAAATTATCATTTTCTATTAAAAAATCTTTGGCTCCTTCACTCACTTTTTGCCTGTGCATTTTTTTTGCCGCCTCATTCACTTTTATCACTTTATGAGGGCCTTTCTTAGGTTTTTTCAACATGTTTAGACCCACATATTTTTCTTTTAATTGTACTTTATGATTCCGTAGTTTATTTGCTTTCGAACCTTCTGTGTCTTTGAGTATGCCTACTTTCGGCGACTCTGTTCTAGCCGTGATTGATATGATTCGGTTCGGTTTTGAGGAAATTGCATTCCAAGTCGGTTCATTTCCATAATAGCTTAGGTTTTCATATTCATTTTCACTTTCATTCCTGCTCAAAGGGATTTGAAAATCCAATTCACCTTTTTTACGTTTTTGCTTTTGAGCCAATGCACCCCAATCTCGTGATTTACACCACTAAAATAAATGATTGATTATTAGATTTATTTTGTCAATAACTATTATTATTTTATTTTGCAGTTAAAATTGCATTTTGTTAATAATAAATTATTATGTGCTATATAAACTGCTCAAAACAGAATATGGATATTTTTATAATATATTCTTATTCTATTAATTTTTATAAAATTACCTGATATATTTGTGTTAGTTGGATAAAACAAAATAAAAAATACAAACCAAAAACAAACAAATCTTAATCCTTATTTTTAATAACGTTTTTACTTAAGAATAGCAGGCAGAGATTACTCATTTAGCAAACAAACACCTTTTCTCGTTTTTTCTCCATTTTAATCCAGTTGCGTTCTCTTTAACCATTGAAAGACATCTTAAACCAGAAGTTCGCAACATTGTTGTGAGAATGAGCAATCGAAGTCACCAGCAAGTGGATATTCCAGAGGGAGGTTGGTGTTTCTCAGAACATAGTCTCGCAAATTTTAGTCCAATTCCAAGAGACTGGAAGTGCCAACAGGAGGCCTGGTAGTGGATCTGAGCACATTACGATGCTAAGAGATGTCAAAAATATTGTCTCTTGCCCTTTCTATTATTGTGCCCACCAGATCCTAAATGAAGCACAAGATGTTTTGGCAAGGCCTTAATCAACACAAACAATTCATTGGGGGAAGTATCGTATGCCCCTTTGAGACAACTTGCATCGACATCCAGCAACCAGCAACTAAGGGGAATATGGTGCAGCAAGCACCTATAAGAGAACTGCAATTGGAATGCTGTTATGTTTACTGATGAGTGCACCGAAGAGTCTACCGCCAGGGGATGCATATATTCCCCAGTTCGTGCTACCTTCAGAGCAGTTTGGGGGAGTGGTGTAATGTTCTGGGCTGGGATTTACACTGGAGGACAAACTGGTCTCCATATTGTTGAAGGCAACCTCACTGCAGTTCATTATGTCCAAGAAATTATCGAGGAATACATCCCTCAAACCAAGGATGTCATTGGCAGGGATTTTAGTTTTCTGGATGTCAATGTCAGATCTCATAGGGGTAGTTGTTCATCAATGTTTAGGAATTTCCCATCTGCCCTTTCCCCCATTGTATCCAGACCTCAGTCCCACTGTGCACATGTGGGATGCTTGCAGAAAAGGCTTTTCGAACACCATTTGCAGTCAGTTGACCTGCAACAACTGAGTACAGCTTTGCAAAATCTATGGAATGAAATTCCTTATGAAATTAGTGACAACCTTATTAACAGTGCACAGAGGTTTTAGCTAATTCTTAATTAATTTAATTAATTCTTTCAATGTTTTATTTTTCTTATCCCAGATAAATTTAATTATAAAAACATATGACAATAGGATTTAAAATCACATACTAACAAATTCAATTTAGTTAACTTGTTTACAAAATTTTAAAAAATCAGTACAGAAGATGCACAATTCAGTGAAGGCAAGTAACTCATTGAACAATGTATTAGCACCATTTTTCATTAAAATGTTGAATGGAAAGAAGTACTTACTTTTCCTTTATTATATTTGTTGATATTGTATGAATCTGGTTCTGAATCGGAAGACTCAACTGTGAAAATTGATACAAATTATATAGAAATTCAAGAATTAGAAGAAGGAGCAGACCTGTAGTGTACGATGAATCTGACACGTCCTCTATACTTTTTTCTTCAGTCATCATTTCACTTCATCTTTTTTCAGCTATGTATTTTTTGCATCATCGCTAACAAAATTAACATAACAAAGCTGATTAAGTTAATTTACATGTAATGTTAAATTTTTCATTAAAGCTCGAATATCTTGACTTGGTTTTTTTTTATATGAACAACTGATTACAGTATATTTGAATTTTTCATATGGCAGAACTAGGCTTTACTTTTTTACAATTGAACTTTGCATGATTGTCCCTCATTTCATTTAATTGGAGTTTTATTAACCTCCAAACAATTCAGTTATAATTTTAATATTACCTCTCTTCCATTGAATTACATGTCCACATAAATTTACCTTTCGTATTGAGTAAACTGTAAATTCAGTAATGACACTCATATTAACAATAATTTTTTAAACACATTTAATTGATTTGTATTAAATCTTGAAACGTTAATTATTGTTTTTGTTATACTTTTCAAGCCCAACTACACAGAGGAATCTGCAGAGGTTTACAACAAAGTGAACACCAGTTTTGTAACTTTATTTTATGAGTTTATGAGGTACAAAAAAAACCTGGATAAACAAAAAAGTCATTACTATACAACTATTACATTAAAAATCGACTAATCATGGACAAATTTTACAAATAATCTATAATGGTATAATAAATAAGAGCACTACTTCGAGAAAACTGGAGAACAAAAATTCATCATTTCCAAAAATTGATTAGGAACTAAAGTGTAAATTATAAGGAATTATTATTGTGAGAGAGAAAAAAAGTCTAATCTCTTTACCTCGTTTTAAGGCACGATCTTTGGAATGACTCGTAAGTGAATAAATATTTGTCAAATTCAGAATATATAATTTTAAAAGATATGTATAGGCACTCAGAGCATGAGGTTTGAATGAAAGCTTTTACTTATTTTTAATTTGATTCAAGGCACTTTCTAAATATTTAGAGCATATTTTTTTTCTTAGATATTTCAAGGCCAAATTTTCTAATTGTTAATACGCCTAGCAATACTATGCTAACCCTTATGTTTACAACTTAACCAATACAAAAGATTATGAGCTTAAAAAAATGTCTTTCCTTTTGTTAAAAATAATATATTTCTTGTACAAGAAATAAAGTTCAAACACACCTCAAAATAAAATGTAATAGAACAATTTCAATTAGTGTAATAAAGAAATCTTTAAATTGTTACAACGGTAAGATGTGGCTAATAAAACTTAAAATTATCTGTCAATCAACATTCCTATTATTGCTATTTCTTCTTACTGATTATAAAAATTAAAAAAATAAATGATAAGAAGAAAAGGAAATGGTAACACAATAAAACTTTGGTTTATTCCCATATTATTTTCAAAGAATGGTTGAGTTAAAAATAATACTGGTTAATAAGAAGAAATAGGTTAACAGGTATGAAATTATAAAAGCTGGATAGAAGATATAAATTACATTACTATAAAATGAGCATTAAAAAGTTTACAAAAAATTGTGGTAACTCATAAATTAAAAAAATGACCAGTTAATTGTTATTTGATTGGTTAGAAAACATTAATTTAAAAAAAATCTAACTCAAGTCCTACAATAAATACATTACATTTGATTAAATTAATGAACAAAAGTGAAAAAATAAATACTGTACAAACAAATTGAGGGAAAATATTGGGCACACAAAAATAACTTATTACCTAAATTGGTGTCATGTAATGGAATGTTTGATGTTCCAGTGCTTATCGAAAAATCTAACAAACATAAGCATAGGTGATGGTGAGTGTTTGGTCCTAAATACCATGTACCAAATTTCATGAGTAATATCATCAATTGGATTACAAAATCAATTAGATTTTCAAATTTACATAAAATTAAGTTAAAAATTTGAATTGTAAATTATATAAGTTTAATCTGTAAAAATTTTAAGATGTAAGTGTAAAATAAAATTTGGTACAAATATACTTTTCCCACTGTTCATCCAAGTAAGAGGTATCATATTATTAAAAATAATTTAATTTGTCTTCAAATCTAAGTTTGACTAAAGTGATAATTCATTACATATCATTACCCTTGGATTTTTGTTCTAATATAAGGCAATTGTTATTAAGACACTTTATTGCATATCAGGCATACAACGTAATAAGTTTTGTACTAAATATATATTTGTAAACTTCATGTATTGAAGTTTATTTTTAAAGAAAAGGAATGTGCTTCTTTTAAAAATCTGTTTCCTAAAAGTACGAAAAGTACATACCTTGAAATATAGCGATAATTGACTTATTGGTGATTTTTACTGAGAAGATGACTATTGAAATCGTATACGTTTCTAGTCTGTTCTCCGCATATGTTACACTTCCAGGGGTTGCCTTCGGCGTGGCAACCTTTGTGGAGGAAGTAAAGCGTCCGGTCTGGAAAACGGATTCCACAATGGCCACAGGTGTCCGGCTCGATCTGCACCATCTGACGAAGTTCGCTGCGAAACTTGGAGTCTGAGAGTGACTCTTCATTCCGAGAGAGCAACCGAACGAGAGGAGAAACCCTTGTGCTCAAATTGACAGGGGATGCGGTGTTGTTGCGTTCGTTCTCCTGGTACTCCTCCTCGCCCTCGACGTTTTGGGGCTCAAGTTTGATGACTCTCTCAGCAATAGATGATGATGGTGTCATCGAATCACCAGACTCAGGTGAGCCCCTAGGGCTCTCTTGATCAACATCAGTTTCCATCTCTGCCATTTCTTGAGGCTGTTAATACATTAAAATTATAAAAGCAAACATTCAGAGCATTTATTTAAAATTGGGTTTTTATTATTTTATCATTAAAAGCATGTATTATGTGCATTAGCTAGCATAGTTATAAGGGTAAATAAGATGGCCATTTTCAGCTTTTCTACATGTTTATTCAATTTTTCCTATTGTATGTTATTTTAATTCTTTACTATATTGATTATTCAGATAACACAAAAACACTCAATTTGCATAAATAAGTAATTCCTTTTATACAGGATGGCTTAATGATCATAGTTAAGCACATTTGATATTATTACAAAATTGATCTTATTTTTTACTTTCATTATTGTTATATTGCTATCGATTATAAGCTTATTACTGTTAATTGGTTGTTTTATTTATATTAATAATATATGATTATTTAGAAATTGTGAGATGCAGTCTGGTGTGATGTAGGTTTAGAAAAACATTTTCTTTATCGTGCCAATGTTTCAATCTTTATTGAGATTGTCTTCGGGGCCTGGGATTTGTAAACATTTTTAAAATTATACAAATAAATATAAGATATTATGAATATGAATTTATAGAATGATGTACACAATAAAGAAATTTTAGGTCTAATAATACCAAACAAATACCTGATTTGGTGAACCCTGAGTTGAAATTTCAACATGTGGAGTTAAAAAATGCATAGGTGGAGTTGCGTTATCAACTGTTCTGTCTCCACAACCATTACTCAAGGAAGGCTTATCCAGATCTATCCCATGCCTTAAAAGAGAGGGAAAAATTGTATAAAAAAGCAAAAACATAAATTATGAATTTATACCTATTATAAAAATGCACACGCAGACTCTTCATGCTAGCGGCTTTGTACGAACAAAGGGGGCAGGACTTAGGCTCAGCAGATGTGCCATTGCCACCAACATGTTCATTTTGAAAGTGTGCTCTCATGGCGATCTGCCTCTGGAATCCTCTTTGGCAGATTGGGCACGACCAAGGGAGTGACTTGGCGTGTGTGGTCGTGTGCTCTGCCAAGTGATCTTTCCTAAAGAATCTTTTCCCACAAACCCGGCACTCGTACGGCTTCACTCCTGTGTGTCTCATTTTATGCCGTCTCATATTCGCCCCGTTAGAGAATCTCATGTTGCACACATCACATTCAAACATTTTCCCCGTCTGACGTCCTTCCCCTCCGCCATCGCCATCTGATTTTTTCTGTTGCTGTTGACAGCATGTGAGGTTGTGGCGAATGAGTGCAGCTCTGGACATCGCTTCATAATCACACCCTTCACATCTAAAAATAAAGCTATCAATTAAGCAATGAAGTGTGTAATTATTTAAGATGTGCCAACTATAACCTAAAATATTTGGTGCAAATGACTTTGTGATGACAATTGTCGTGAGAATTCCTTTATATTGAAATAAATCTTTTCTTATGAAAACTAAACTCAAAGTTTAAATTATTTATTAAAAATAAAATAAATACTATTAAAAATTATTAAGTTTAAAAGTGGGTCAAACATGTGTTTCGCCGAATCCCAACTAGTGGGGAAGGGTGCTCGGTTACTCACCGAGTCAGTGCTCGCCTCGCTCAGCTAGTTGTCAAGCACAAACTGGGTGGTTGTACAAACCCTGCATGTGTGGATACACAGGCACATTATTTGGCGAATGCCAAGCTGAGCATCTTGACATTTGGCAAATATTTGGCATTAATCTAATCCCTCATGTTCGGAGCCACCTTAATATGAAGCCATTAGCTCATAAGATGTATTTTTATTTTTCTAAATATCATTAATAATTTAAATTAAATTTTCATATACCAAAAGCTGAGGTCATCACAGGCCCTCTGTGTGTTTGTATTTTTTTCCTGGTCTTTCATGCGTATTTTTCAACCTGCAGTCAGGTCTACGCTGTCAAAAGAGAATTTTAGATCTATGAAAAAACAATATATTTTTCCCTTGAGACCAGTGTATATAAATTATGTTGGTATGCATGAATAAACTGTCAAGGGTCTAAAAGCCCTTCTGGAAACTTGTTCCTTTTACATGTTTATTTACACTATATTTGTATTATTATCTAGTTAAGTGTTACATTCTATTTCGTGTATGTGTGTGTGTCTTTCTCCCTCTCTTTCTTTCTTTCTTGCTTTGTATACCTTTCATACTTGAAAATCCTCAAATGCTGTCGAGGAAGGGGGTGAGTGAGAGGAGAATATATTGTCAAGACAGCCTCCGGCTGATGATGGAATGGAATAATTCCAAGCTTTAAATACACATTATTTGTTTTATTGTAACTATATTTAGAAAATAAAGTATTATTATTATAACATTCTAGTGAGTAGTGAGATTATACAGTACGGAAATGACATCTGTATATTTTTGAAGGGCCTATGACGAAAGTAGGTCTGGCAGAGGACGATTGGGGGTGAAAACTCTGTTTAACTATTTAATAAAATTATATATTATAAAAAATTTAAATAATGGTGTAAGAAAGGGCTAAGGAATTCAATACCTGTGCATAGGTATGGCTCCGTCGGAAGAGTCGTAGTTGGTGTTGAGATTTGACTCTTGGTGGCTGACTTCTTCGTTGTCGTCCTGTTTGTTGTGATGATTTTCCTTGATGAGCAGGGGATCCGCTTCGTTCTGACCCATCGGTTTTTCCTCGAGGGACATGCTAGACCGCCAGTGGGAAAAGTGGGCGAACGGATGGATATTCCGGGCCGATTCGACCCCCTCGGGCGAAAGGGGACTTTTAAATAATTTGTTGATTCAAAATCGATAACTTACATAACTCCCTCGGGTGTTTCACCCGGCTTTGGGGGCGGACGGTGGATCAGAATAATTGGATTAAGCGTAATATTCAAAAAACCGTGGTGTGTCCCAGTTTCTCACTCCTGGCCATCGTTTTTGTTGCAATATCCGAAAATGAGGGCAACACGGCTCGCGACACCCGACACATACTCGACCCGAATAACCTACTTTTAACGGTGAACTAATTTTTTTAATTGACTCGCCGGGGCGGAGCGAGACGGGGCGGACGGCGGAAAAACGGACTCGACGACTTTGTACAAGGGACTAGAAAACGGTAAACGCTCCCTCTCAGATAACACAATTCATAGCCGCCGTTGTTTATCTACTGACCTAGACTAATATTACAAGAATGGCGTTCCACTTCCACTTCCACTTCAAAAGCGTTCCCTTAAAAAACGTTTAACGAAAACAGACGACGACGCGACCGCATTCTGGGGGAACTGACCACTTTCGAAATGACGAGACGAAGACGGGCGACGGCTACCCTCCCCGCACCAGTGAGGAGACAATTCTTTTTTCTTTTTTTTTTACGAGTCATAAACTCATTTCTTAAAAAAACGTACAAATGTAAAGAGAAAAAATATACACAATACAATGCTATATATACTACACGCTATACTATACTTCAATTAAAAGGACAATAGAATCCTTATAAATAAGCATCATAAAGATTTAATTATACACCCTGTTTATTTATATTATAACGACTATGAATTATTAAAAAAAATATATAAACGATAATATAATAAAGCATTATAACTACATTTTAGCTTTTTTTAACTAAATAAAATTATTATGCTTTAAGTAACTGACGTTTTAATGAGGACATAATAATTTAATTAATAAATTCGACAGAAAACGTGGCAATTTTAGAATTTTCTAAGGATAAACTAGTTTACAACGTACAAAATTTCTTCGATTTGTTTAATTACTACGATTTGAACTATTTACTTTATTAACGTATTTATTAACTTTCAACGACTCGCTTTTTTACGCTTCTAAAGTGGGTTCTGTTGGTATCTTGGATTCTCTATACATTATTGTATAAAAAATGACTTAGTTAAATATAATACATATACAATACAGTGTACATGAATAGGTATAAAAAATATACACTACAATAGTTAGTTATACAATAAACTTAGCAATGGTCACAAGATAAACATTTTAAAGAATGACCATTCCATTTTGTGTACACATATCTTTTTTATGAGTAGTAAATAGATGTTAAATGTTTATTATTTATTAAAGTTACATCAATTGATGCGTCTGAGCGTAAAGTCAACAATTGTCGGAAACAGTTTAAAAGGAAAATTGCTGTTCCAGGCAGGTTGGATCGGCATCGGGTTAATTTTCGTACACGGTCGGGAGGCCGGGTTGAGAGTGTGAGAGGCTTTTGTTCCTTGGCGAGGGGCGCTCGCCGCCGATGAAGGAGGCTTTGGCAGTGCGGTTCCAGTCCGGTTCCAGTTTCTAGTTTGGTTACTTCACGACTCACGTACTTTGTTTCGACACCAGTCTATCGCTCTCGAAGTGACGGACACACATTCGAATCACACGGAGCATTTTCTTTCCGACTTCACCTTTCGACCCGTCGCTCGCGTTTTACTCGAGGGCTCGCACCGATTCACTTTCTGCCGGATTATCACCAAATTCGCTCTTTTTTAATGTTCGACAATATACGAATATCCAGTTCGGATTTTGGGTCAAAGCCGTCAGGATGGGGAAACCTAAGAAAGGGAGGAAGTTAGAGCAGGACGAGGATAATGTGTGAGTCTGCATTTTTTTACAATGTCCTACAATTGTATTTTTTTTTTTTCAACCGGGGAAAAGGTTTTGCGCAATACCCACCTCACCGGATTTTTTCCGACTTTTCCCTTTAACTTTGTTGGATTTTTAAATTTTCCCGTTTTTCTCTCGTCCTAGTGAATCTTCTGGAGTTCAAGACAAGGAGGTGGAGGATGATACAAACGCAAAACAGAAAGCGAAAAAGGAGAAAAAGTCAGTATCGTTTACGTCCATATGGTCGTCCGCTGTGTCTCGCTTGTTCGACATTTTTCTAAAGTCTCCTCACTTGTTTCCAGGAGAAGAGACGTAGAGGAACTGTCCGAGTCGGAAGAGGAGGGCCACACGAAAAAGATACAAATTAAACAGAAAAAAGGGAAAACGGGAGATAACGCGGAAGAGATAACTGAAGAACTCAAAGATGCCTTTACCAAAGGGAAAAAGGAGAAAAAGGTAAAAAAATACAAACAAACTTCATTTTTGATCCACAGAGATATTTTATTGTCTTGGGTCAAATATTTTGGCACTTGTTGCATACGGCTTTATTGCATGATGTTCACTTTTTTTCAACCTCTAAAACGTGCTAATCTTTTCTATAAATTATTTCCGTTAATTATTCTTTTTCTATCTAAGGTTTTGGTTGAGATAAAAAGTCACGAGCAGGATTCGAACCCACAACCTTTGGTTCAATATGCCACTGCTCTAACCACTTGAGCTATCGTGGCTTTGATTCACTGAGACACCAACTCCTCATCTCAACGTACAATTTTCCCTCTTTTTGCTATTTTTCATCTCAACTAATAACTTAAAAAAAAAAATTTAATTGAAATAATTAAATTCACTAATTTCGTGATCCGCTTGACCAAGGTTTTTAGTTGAGATAAAAAAGTCATTGAAAAATGACAAAAAGAAGGGAAAATTCAAAAGGTGCGGTTGAGATGGGAAGTTGGTGTCCGAGTGGATTGAGGTCACGATAGTGTCATAAGTGGTAGAGCAGCGGTGTATCAAGCCAAAGATTGTGGGTTCGAATCCCGCGTGCCATTGACTTTTTTATCTCAACTAAAAACCTTAATTAATTGAAATAATTAATATGGCCAATTATCACTGCTAAACATATATGGATTAAGTTTCTATAAATGTTTAAATTCATCTTTAACGTAAGACAAAATAGGATTGCTAAGAGTTCTTGAAGACATAAAAAATTGCAAAATATATTTATTTGGATTTAAGCAGAAAATGACATTTTTCATTATATCATTTCTCTTGTGGAGAGGAGGTTATTATTATTCTTATTATCATGGATATGTTAAACATCTGGAATGTAGAAACTCAGGGTGTTTATACTTCCATCCTCAAGAGCTATTGTATGCCCTGTTCTTTATTTATAGAACACTGATTTCATTGGGCTGTCCGGAAAATAATTCAGGTTTATGGTTATAAAATAAAAATAATTAAATAAATGATTTTAAACTTTTTTATTAACTAAAATACCTTCCATCACTCTCAATACACTTCTCCCCGCGTGATTGCAACTTATTTACACTTGCTGAATAGAATTTTGAGAATCCACTTTTCAACAGTACAACAAGTAACAATTATATGCCGAAAAGGTTCGTTTCTGTTCCGATTTTTAAAGAACCCAACTTTTGAGTTTTTTCATCTTTCCAATTACTTTAAGGTGATCAGTGATGGTCGATTTGCTAACTGAAAGATTCTCAAGCAGTTGTTCTGAGATTTTGTTTGACCAAAGCTCACAGAGCATATCATTTAAGGAAGAAATCCTTCTACGACATTCTTCGTCTTCTAGGCTAAAGCTTCTCAAAATTTTTTAAACTATCTCTGAATGATGCTCTCACTGCCGTCGCCCCGGACTGCATTAATATTTTTGGCCATTTGGTCACCGTCCCAACCGAGTTTAAACTCATAAAATGAGAATACGCGAAAATCACGCCTTGACATCTTAGAAAAGGTTGAATATTTTTCCAAGTAACAAAATAATACTAAGGTAAACAATCATTTTTGTTTGGAAGAGATTAAAAAGTGTTGACATTCGTACAAAAGAATAATCCATCAAACGTAATCAGTTTATTATACAAGGTGTCCTTTTTAGATGGCTTGGCTGAATTTCTCTTGAACCATTGTCGCTATCAAAAAAAAAACAAAAAACAATACGTTTAATATTTTTTAGGCAAGTTTCAAATTTTTACCTTTGTTTTAGAGAAAAAGAATACCGCAGGCCTAGTTCATCTTAAAAATTTGAAATACGACCCTATACATCCTGACACATCATTTCAAAGGATTTTTTATGCTGAAAACAATGGTACAATCAGATTTTAAATTGGTCAAAAGATGACAATGTTATGGCAAAAAGCTTGAACTTTTGGACTCTGTTTATGATAGGCGTCTAATGTTCCTTGCACAAATGTTGATTTGGGAGGCTGAAGTTCTTCCATACAACCTTTGGACGGATGAATCCAAATTCACCTCTAATGGCATACTAAAATCTGAGAATTTCGTACTCTCATCATCATCAGGTGGTTCACAGTATCAACGTTTGGTGTGGACTTCTCGGAAATAAATTAATTGGGCCTTATTTCTACGAAAATAATTTGAATAATGCTCAGTGCTTCACTTTATTGAGATAGATGACGTTCCTCTGCAACGATGACAAAATGATTCTCCAGCTTAACGGATGGCCTGCACACAAGTTTTTTCAGGGTAGACATTATTTGAATGATAATTTCCGGGATAGGGGATAGAAGGACTTCATGGCCCGATCTGATAGTCTCCTCGGTCACCCTAGGTTTTTTTTTTTTTTTTTTTTTTTTTTCTCAAACAACATTGTTTTCTTTTGACTAATTTCAAATCCGATTGCACCATTGTTTTCAGAGTACAAAATCCTTTAAAATATGTCAGGTTGTATAGGGAGGGCCGTATTTGAAATTTTGAAGTCGAACTGGGTCTCAGGTACCCTGCATAATTTTTCTACAAAAAAATGTAAAAAATTGAAACTAGACTAAAAAATATTAAATATGTATTTTTTGTTTTTATGATATTGGTGTTGGTACAAGAGAAATTCAGTCGGGTCTTCTAAAAAGGACACCCTGTATAGAAGAGGGGTAATTGAAAGAAAATATGAAAACGTGCATTATTTTCCGGGCAACCCAATAATCCCTCTACTTTGTTCATTATTCGATATTATTCCTTTCAAGGTTGTGTTATGAGCCTCAAACTTCTTGCACGAGAGTGTAGGTCTCCACAGCCTGTTAGTGAATGCGCCTTCTAGAATCTGTACATCATGTGTTTATTGATGACCGTGTTTTTCAGATGTCCTGACAATACTGACTTCATTCCACATTGCTTTCTGAAATTTCATTTTTTATTATTACTTCTCTGTATAATATTAATAAAGTTTTGTCTGAAGTGTGTGTGTGTGTGCGTGCGTGCGTGCGTGCGCGCGTGCGTGTGTGTGTGTGTGTGTGTGTGAGAGAGAGAGAGAGAGAGAGAGAAGGATTTTAATGGTGTAGAAAGAGAAAAAGATAGAGGGAGGGTAAACGCAACGTGTTAATAGAATTTTTTATTTCTCTCACTATTTTCTCAGTTTAAACTTTAAAAAATCATGTCATTCTCCATTGGAAAGAAGAAAATTTTTTCTACAAAATAAGCCTAATTTGTAAACAAGTATTTTTTTAAATCTGGAAATTAGCTACATCTTGGTTTTGTTCGGATTAAAATTGTGAACAATTTTCCAGGGAGCTGTATCATTTTTACATAGTATTAAATAACTACTTAAGACCAATCGAATTTGCTAAAAACTGATTTCAATTTGCAAAGTTACGAACGTTTTTATCACATTTAGGTTACTGTTAAATTTTATTGAAGACCATATCACGCTGAACTGGTCTCATTTTTGTATGGGTTGAGGTGTTTATGATTCCCCAAATTTTATTATCCCCTATTGATAGGACATTAGATGTTTTTAATGTCGATCGTGCATTTGCTGGGGAAATTTTTATATTGATGACTTTCAACAGGTTTTACCAGTCTTTAAAAAACGAGGCAGAAGACCAATTTATGCTTAAAAAATAGTTTATGAATAGCTTTCAGCAATTCAAATTGTCCAAGAATGCAGATGGAGATTCCATTAATTTCTCAGATTGGTTATTACATATCAGAAATAATTTCATGAAAAACTTGAAATACCCCAGGAATTGTTACGCGATAATTTAACTGAAGAGTTTTGGCCATTAGGTTTATCTGATATAATAGAGCTATATTAGAAGCTAGAAACGAGGAAGTGAAAAATACTAATAATCTTAACATTGAACAACAACTACCAGGGGAAATGGTTAAGTGTATTTTCTTAAATCATACTAAGTCAATAGCTGGTGACGTAGCCGGGTTACCAAGAAATGTACTTAAAAGCAGGATGTATTGTTGCTATGCTATTGAGAAATTTATGCATAGGAGACGGTTTATGAAACAGGACTTGTTTAATAGAAAAATTGATCGGACAATTCTAAACTGCAAAATATTAACTGGGAATAAAAAGGGAGATGTGCACATCCCTGAAATATATTTAGACACACGAGGAGATAGCGAAATGCCTTTTTTTTTTTTTTAAACGGTCCATCTTTCATTTGCTATGATCATAAACAAGTCATGAGAACAAAGTTTTGAGAAAATAAGTTTGATTATAAATTCAAAAAACACAACATTGACACATGGACGTATGTAGCTCTGTCGAGACGTACAATAAAGCTAGGCATTAAAATATAATACAAATTAAAAGAAAAATGCATTGAAAATATTGTTTTTGACAAAGTGGTGGAGTAGTATAAATTATTTTTCCAGTAAGCCTGGCAAAAATTAAGAGGCGTGGAAGTTTTTGCGTTTATTTATTTGGAGTTGCTCATTTTTACTTATTACAAAATATATGATATTAAATAAAACTAGCAGGGTCTTCGCTCACCACCGGGCTGCCCCACAGCAGCTGGTTAGTGCCTACTAGCTTTTTCGTGAGGGGATGAGTGGGCAACAATAATAAAAAAAAAAAATCTGAACAATTCTATAACAGAATCACTCCATACTGGTCGTGGAAATTGCTGCAGTCTCCACAGAGTAATTCACCCCTCTAGAGCAGACATAAACAGCAAAACTATATTAATTCTCCATATGAAAATATTTGTTAGGACCATTTTAAATTTTTTTTAAAGCCAACGACATGGCACACAATCCTTTATTGAGAAATAATTAAAAACATTTGGTTTAAATTTAGTCTTTTGACACAGCTGTTAGGAAATTCGGCATTCTTTTCTGCACTCTTCTTTTAGGTTGTGAAACTTGTTATTTGGTTATTAAAAAAAAAAAAATCTGAACAATTCGATAACAGAATCACTCCATACTGGTCGTGGAAATTGCTGCAGTCTCCACAGAGTTATTCACCCCTCTAGAGCAGACGTAAACAGCAAAACTATATTAATTCTTATTAGGCATACTTTTCTTCACCCCTTTCTAAGTACCATGTTACTATGGTGCTAAGGTTTTCCAGCCACTGTTGGTGAACTAAAACAGTTTTCGAGAGTAATTGACTTCTTCTTTGAGATCAAAGCAGAGTTAGTCTATCTATTTCTAAAAAATTATGGTGCATTGAACCTTGGGGGGTTCTTTTCTGCACTCTTCTTTTAGGTTGTGAAACTTGTTATTTGGTTAGGTGGGAGGTGTGGAGTAAAAGTTTGTGACAACCAATGATGTCAGTACACACTCGCCAATGGGACCCTAGGCAAGAATGTACTTGTTCTTGCCTCACCCTCGAACCACTTGCTCTTGGGGCGGTGTTTGTGCACGAGTCAAAGGAGCCAAGAGGGCTTAAGAATTGCAAATGATAAAAATGCAGAATGAACAATCTGTCACCATTTGATCTGGGCTGCCAAGTCAACCAATCCTCCATTTGAAAAAGTATTGTGTTTTAAGCACTGCTATTTGTTTAAATGGAGATGCCTATTTCTATTAACTCTATCTTGTTGGTGCATTTATAGATACTCTTGCTTTGACAATGTAAGAATGGTTTGTTTGATGGTAACTCTTTTATATTAGTTAAAATAAACTTAAAATAAAGTCATTAGATTTCGGGGTCCGATTGACCAAATAACATCTTTCAATTAATTAATCTTTATGTAAGGTATTTTCTTTCCTTGTTTTTGTTGTCCTTATCCCGTTGTATTAATTATTGTTTTATGCCATTTATTTTGAAGGTAGGTATATTAAATTATATCTATCTGTTCTTGATGTTTTGGCATCATGGCCATATTGATGTAATGTTATTACCTTGAATTTACAAAAAAACAAAACAACATAAAACTGGCAATATTTCACATAGTTGTGTCTGGCCTCTTGCAACCATGTTACACATTGTCGATTTCAAGTTTTATTGATTTTATTTATTGTTGTATTTAGTTTAATTTTAGTTTTAATAAATCCAACTGCATGAATGATGCTAAAACATCAAAAGACAAATAAATATAAATGATAATTTTTCTGCCTTCAAAATCAATGGCCTAACAACAATTATTAATAAAATCAAATTAAAAGTATGTTAAATACTAATTGTCATTAATATGTGTTATTTTCCTCCCTTATTTTTGTTGCTTAATTTGCATTAAACAATTTTTTTTCCAGATATAATTGTAAAATGCTTCTCATATATTATTCTATAATTGGTTGTAGGGAAAAGGTGGGTTAGCAGTTGAGGAAAATAAAAGTAAATCAAAGAAAAAAGGAAAAGCAAAGGAGTCTGATAGTGATAGTGATGATGTACCCATTACAACCTCTAAAGGAGGTTTTGCTTCATTGGCTGTTGATGATGATGATGAGGAGGAGGAGGAACCTCCTCATGCAATCGACACAGAAGAAGAAGAACAGGTTGAGGTTGTTAAAACAAACAAGAAGGACGAAAAGAAAGGAAAGAAGAATAGAAAAAAGCGCAAAGATGAAGATGAGGAAGATCTAGATCAAATTCTTGCTGAACTTGAAATCGAATATGCTGGAGGTGCTGGTGATAAGCCACCAACCGAGTCTGCTAAACCTGAAACAAAAGAAGATGAAAAGAAAAAAAAGAAAAAAGAAAAAAAAGCTGAGAACGAGGAACCTTCGGCCACTGTGGAGCCGGTTGATGATGAAAATGAAAATGATGACGGCGAAGAAGTAAAAACTGTTAAATCAGCTGCACAAAAGAAAAAAGAAAAGAAAGAAAGAGAAAAAGCAAAGAAAGCAGCAGAAAAGGCCAAAGCTAAGGTAATAAAAAAAAAATTAATTGCATTATTTATACTCCAATATTGATATTTATTTCTGTTAATTTAAACTGTTTACATTTTTAGGCCCAAGCTTCAAATGAACCAACTATTGAAAAATCCCCAGAACTCGAAGTGGAAGCACCACCTCAAACCACAGAAGAGAAAACTGAATATAGGGATGAAGACGAAGGTAAACTAGCCCTTATCTTGTATATTACGATTTCTTTGTTTTTACTTATGGAAATAATTTAAGATGATGAAAGTAAGAAGAAGAAAAAGAAAAAAGGAAAGGAAGAGAAAGAAGACAAAAAGAAACCAAAAAATAAAGCGATTGCTGCTATGCAAGCAGCTTTGAAAAAAATAAAGGAAGAAGAAGAAAGATTAGCTGCAGAAGAAGCAGAACGGATTAAGAAGGAGGAAGAAGCTGAACAAGCAAGATTAGAACAAGTAAGACTTTGTTTTGTTTCTATCTGTTCCTATAAAATTTAATGTTTTACATTTCAGATTCGTTTGGAGCAAGAAAGAAAAGAGAGGAAGAAACAGAAAGAAAAAGAAAAGAAGGAAAGGCTAAAAGCAGAAGGAAAGTTGTTGAACTCAAAACAAAAAGCCGACCGTGCTAGAGCCCAGGCAATGCTTGAAGCAATGAACAAAATGAGATTAGACAGTAGTATTTCTTCTGCTCAAGATACAGAAAAACCTGTGAAACAAAAACCGGTTTATACAAAACTTAAAAAGAATTTAATACCACAGCAGCAGCAGCAGCAACAACAACAACCACCACAAGCTCCACCTCAATCCAATGGTACTCAAGGACCAAAATCGGTTGAGGTCAAAATTATTGATAAAGTAGAACCAATTGAACAGGATGATGTCAAGGATTCTTGGGATATTGAATCTGACAAAGAAGATGGTAATTTATTTAAAATTTTATATGGGAAAAACAACTGCACTTGCAGAGAATGAGTTTTTTCCATTTTAGATGCGCCTAAAGCGGATGAGGTTAGGGAAAAAGGTAAGACACCAGAAGCAAAGCCTCAAGAGGCTTCGAAGCCGAACCAAGTGAACAGACAGAAGAGCAAAGAGGAAAGCTCTTCGATGACTGAGTCTGAAAGTGAATCTAGTTCAGAAGAGAGTGAGACTGACAATTCGGGGAGTGATTCAGATGAAGAGGGCAAGTCGGACAAAAGGACTGAAGCAGAAAGGAAAAGGGAAAAAGTTATTGATAGGATTAAGGTTAGTATTTAGATTCAGTATTTTTTGTGGAAAATATTTTTCTCTTTAGTAAGAGTGAAATTATAAATTTATTAAAACGTCAAATTCATTTTTGTAGAAAAGACAAGAGGCTGCCGAGAAAAAGAGAAGTCTTGATGAACTCAGAGCAGCTGTCGTTTGTGTACTAGGACATGTTGACACTGGCAAGACTAAAATATTGGACAAACTACGAAGGACGAATGTACAAGACGGAGAAGCTGGTGGAATCACACAACAGATAGGTGCAACTAATGTGCCTATAGAAGCAATTAAGGAGCAGGCCAAGATCGTCAAAGGGGTGAGCATCCCTCGTCTCTTTCAGTAATGGTATTTCTTACAGTGCATCTTTATTGTAGTTTTCACAAATGCCATTGAAAATCCCTGGCCTTCTAATTATTGATACGCCCGGTCACGAATCTTTCAGCAATTTGAGGTCTAGAGGTTCGTCCTTGTGTGATATTGCCATTCTTGTTGTCGATATTATGCACGGATTGGAACCACAGACTATTGAATCTATAAATTTACTTAAACAGAGGAAAACTCCTTTCATTGTAGCTCTGAACAAAATTGACAGGTATGTGGACAAATTTCTTGATTAACAAACATATGAGTATAATTTAAATATTTTTCCTAAAGGTTATATGACTGGCAAATGATGGCAAGGAAAGACATTAGGGATGTTATAAATGGGCAAGCTGCAAATACACAGTTAGAATTTGAACAAAGGACAAATGAAGTAATTGTTCAGTTCGCTGAACAGGTTTGTTCACTCGGCTTTAAATTTGAATATTTACAATCTTACAAAAAAAATATTACCTGTATTTGTAGGGATTAAATGCTGCACTCTTTTACAATAATCCAGATGTAAGAAGTTATGTTTCTCTAGTACCAACTTCCGCAGCAACTGGTGAAGGTATGGGCAATCTTTTAGCCCTCATAGTCGAATCGTGTCAAACCATGCTTGCAAAGAGACTTATGTTTAGTGAAGAGCTGCAGGTTATTATTATTATTATTACTATTTTGTAAAATATGTTGTCTACGATTAATTTTAAAGGAATAATACACAATTTTATTTACAGGCTACTGTTTTAGAAGTTAAAGCTCTTCCTGGCCTTGGGACAACTATAGATGTTATTTTAGTTAATGGATATCTCAGAGAAGGGGACACAGTAGTATTGGCTGGAACTGAAGCTCCAATAGTAACTCAAATTAGGTCTCTTCTTATGCCGCAACCTCTTAAAGAACTCAGGGTTAAAGTACGTTGATAGTTATGTTTAAGTTTTATTAAACTATACTGTTATTTTTCTGGAAGGTTGTTTAAAAAATATAAACTGCATAAGGTAGTAATCACGTAAAATGTAAGCGAAAGTGGAGAAAGTTTAGACAATAATTCTACGTTAATCTCTACAAGTCAAGGCGAATGCGTGACATGAAAGTTGTGGTGGTATCCAACCCTGCACTTTTCTTTATTTTAATTTAATATTTTTTTAAAATTAATAAATGCGGTTTTTTCAAATTTAATGATGTTTTTTGGGGAGGGGGCTGTCAAAAATTCCAGGGCCAATGGTGAGAATTGAACACATGACTATGGAGTCAAGCTGACACACTCGGGTGGTCCAGTTGGCTAGGATTAATAGGTTGGAAGTTATATTTCTAAGTCACTCTATTGAAAATTTATGGAATTGAAACTTCTCCCATCCTTTGACTCTGACTTGCTCTTTCATACTACATCGTCTTAAAAAAAAAATTAGTTTCATTCGGTGAATGACTTTAATCACTATGGATGATGTAGTTAGATGGCAATTAAAATACCTACTCTACTAAAATTGATTGTTTCTACTATTGAAACAAATTAACTCTTGATACAATTTTTACCCACCCTAATTCATAATTGTAATGTTAAATTATATAATGTCAATTATTCAAATGATTGTAATAATAATAAATAATTAAAATCATCATGATTTTTTGTTAAATTTTTCCATAAATGAGCTACGTAAACACTTGTCATTTCATAATTTAAAAATAAAAATATTTAAAAAATGTTATTTTTAAATGTTGTCATTGTAAATGCATAATTATGTATAAACAAACAAAAAAGTTAGAATTGCTACTGTACATGGCTATATTTGGAAAGTATATTTAAGTTCTGATAATTTGAATAAAATAATAATTTTTAAATATAATTTTTAATTTCCATCAAAAATGCTCATGCAAACAGTCCATATTTAAAGTTGGAAAGTAATTAAAAAATTTTCATACCAATTGTCATTACTACAATGGAGTTAGTTTATTTTACAATCTTTTTAAAACCTAAGCAAAAAAGTTACCATGTTAACCTTTCCATTACTGATCTTCAGATGTTATAAGGCGTTCCCTTGCCCATACCTTTGGCTGCTACGTAACCCCACACCAGAGTGATTTATTTTTATTATACATCAAATTTCAAAACAATCACTTCGAATTGCTTCTACTCTTTACTATTTTGAATATTTTTTATAATTCAGTATATTTTCAGTCATCAGCTTTTACCTTTTAATAATAAACTCATTAATCAGTAAATTACAATTGTATAATTTCAGAATGCATATGTGGAATATAAGGAGATCAAAGCGGCTCAAGGTGTAAAAATAGCTGCCAAAGACTTTGAGAAAGTCATTGCTGGCTTAAATCTCAGAGTTGCCAAAAAGCCAGATGAAGTCGATGTTCTGAAGGAAGAAGTCGCCAAAGAACTGAAGCATGCACTTAGTAGCATAAAACTTCAAGAACGAGGAGTTTATGTTCAAGCGTCTACTTTAGGTTCTCTTGAAGCTTTGCTCGAGTTTCTTAGAACATCCAACATACCGGTAAGATTTTCGTTTTTAATCCTTTCTACTTTTTTCTATAGGTTGAAATAAATAAGCATTTTCAGTACGATAAAAAAATAGTACACAGACTTATTTCATTGTTTAGTGTTGATTTTAAATGAGTGATTGTAATTGTAAAATAATCAAGACTAATCAGTAGTCCACAACTCCATTTCCTGTCCTATTTCAGGCAGGAAGTATTCTGTGACTCCAACCGGTCATGAAATAAATATTTATTCAATCTCTTATTCTGCCAAGCTGACGTTTACAATTAAATTAATTTTATTTTGTTTTATGCCTATTATTACTACATTTCCAGGCTTACTATTATCAAACTAAAGGCTTACTATTAATAACTTGAGCCTCAATATGCAAAAAAGTTGCTTAGTAACATTTAAATTTAACTTAAATATGTATTACTTTCTTTTGTGCATAGCACAGATAGATTTTCAAGTTTTATCCCAACAATGTTATACTAAGTATTTGATCATTATCATTAATTATATATTTTCTTAAATATGTTAGGGCTGATTCCATTGTCCATTTAAGATGGCCACTCATAAAAAATATGATTTTATTTTAATAAATAGTTTTTCAAACAATAGGCCCTCTAAAATGGTTAATAAATTAAATTGTAACACCTAGGTTGATGATTTTTTTTTAAATTTAACCATTGTTAACAACTTAGCTATTACAAAATGACTAATGCTGCTTTTTATTTAGTCAGGTCCTACAAAAGTACATATGATAACACATTTAACATTATTTTATTTTGTTTAAAATGCTAACTTGAACACTAATGTTTTCTAGACATGAGTTAGTATAAATTGCATTCTTCCAGAGTCATTTCAAATAATATAGTACTGATTACTGATTTATATAAGCTCTGCTGCACACTTGAATATGCACTCATGCACGTGTATGAAGCTGAACCTACCACTTCTTCAGCCCACCGGCAATTCCAGCTTTTGTGTAATTTACAATAAATTACTGGCAGACCCTGAGAATCACCCACCTCGGGTGTTGGCAGCCTGGGGTCAGACTTCAGTCTTATCCATTCAGCCACCGAGGTTGGGCTTCGGATGTTGTCAACAGATAGATCAATTCAGCCCCCAACACAACCAGTTACTAGATCTACACCCACTCACTCTCTCACTCTTAAATAAATTATTTCCTATGTACATACCATTCACTCAGAGTGGTAGAGAACTTGATTCCTCTATAACCCCCTACATGTAACTAATCTATTTGAGGGTCGATGGGTACTCAATATTCCGCAATCATGCTAATAAATACATTCAGGCTCCATATACACAAAGAAATAAAGTACTGTATTCAGTAAAACAGTTTATATTTTCTCTAAAAATCGGAACATGGGACCAGATACTAGCTGCTAGCACAATTCTCATATCGCGCTCTCTATATGCCAAGGAATGGCACTCTTCAAATACGTGGGACATATCTAGTAATCTTTGTTTACATACCGGGCACATACGCGGGCTTTAGTCTAAAAGTAAGAGTCTATGTATCAACCTCGCATGGTTTATTCTTAATCTGGAGAGTATGACCCCTCTTTTACGTTAGGTCGGAGGCAAAGGCCACACAGGTTAAGTTCGAAGGTTGGGACGTCTCAGCCTTGGCCGCCTCGTGCACCTTTTCGTTACCCTCTGTACCAGTTTCAGGGGACACAGACAATAACCAATGTCTTGCCAAGGGAGTCGGTTCAGACAAGGTACGAGAGATATTTAACATCTAGTGCGGTTTCATCGAGACCTCATGACCAGGCAGAGGGCGGCCCACCTGGACTGACCACTGAACGAACATAATTAATTAATCTTGAATACGAGGTCTTTGGTAGGGATGTGTACCAACCATAGCCCTCATAGTTTCCCTGAGCCACTCGGCTCTCGTAGCAGCCCAGGAAGGTCACCCGCCTAGTGTTGGTAGTCCGGGCCTACTGCCTCCCAACAACATTTGCCGCATAATGTGTGAGTTTGTGTACTGTTAGCGTGCTTGAGTCAGTGCATGTTATTTATGAAGCAAAGTTAACCCTTGTACCCGGGCTTAAAATGATATATTCTCGAGAGACTAGAATAGTAAGCCATGACATTATTTTTTTATATGTTGATGAAATTAAATTATTTGTATACATAATGCATTAGTTGTAGCAACGTAACATATGCTATGCAAGTTTAAATCGGAGGTTCATGAAATAAACTAAACGTTTATTTACTGAATTCATATATGTAATAAAACTAATGTAGTACATTTAGTAATTGTTGCACTTGTAAAAGTATGTACACATTTTGGGGATGGTTAGGGTTGGATAGCATGGTTATCATATGGAGTAATTACTATCTTTTAAAGAGATGTTATTTAAAAAATTAGTATAAAAATACGTTTTTAACTATTGCCTATAGTTAATTTTTTTGTTTTCGACTATTTTTCGTACTCTTGGTAATACGAGTCTGGTTCCAAACACTTGTAGTGATTGTGTTCCATTTGAAAGGGCTTAAAATAAAAAATTGGTTCAGGTGTGTAAAGACCTCTCACCGTACAATCCAAATTGTTCTCTCGCCGCACCACGTTTTTAAATAGAAAGTAGATAATTATGTGACTATATATATGTGTAAGTTATGGCTTGATGTAATACGTATATATTTTTTTAATGTGTGGATCGTGGGTTTGTGAGTGTCAAGATGGGATTTGTGTGCGATGGAAAGCTTGAGGGGGGGAAGTACTTGTAAACTCGCCTCCGTTATGGAGGAGGCAGGAGGTCGGTCCTTCTCCGTCTCTCTCCTTCTTCCGCCTCTATCCTTCTCTTTTCGCCCCCCTCGGCCCCCTGTCCGCCGACCCCATGGAACCAGTTGGCACAAAAGAGACTCGACTCCGAAGAGAAACACGTGGGACGTTGTGGTGTATATGCCCACGGTGAGCTACCCACATGATATATCCTCCGCCTCTATCACTTTTAAAACCATATGTGCCTGAAATTATTTCAATTTTAATCGATCCATTTCCTTTATGTCCGTCCTCTCGCAACTAGCGGGCCAGCGATTACGGCCGGCTGGCCTGGCCCTGGTACTCTTTCGTATTTCAATCGACGTTTGTTAAAAGTAAAAGAACGTTGTCAACAGCGAAAAGTTGCGCAAGCGGATATCACGGCCTCCCGAGAACGCTCACGTCTTTTTTCTTCGTTCTTGATTCAAATCGACTTTTCAGAGGATTAGCCATAGTACCTTAAAATTATTAAATTAGTGCAGTCGATTGGTATAATTCTGCGAATATCAATTGCACAGTGTGTGGATCCTGTGAATAAGTAATGAATAAGATTGATTTATTGAACTCCGTTAAATCAAAAAACTCTCTCTCATTCGTATTTAAACATATATTGTGTCAGTCTGCGAGGTGAGCCTGTAGATGATCGACTCCGATCAGGTCATAAAATGACACAGTTACGAAGAGCTGAACTATCATCAAGATTATGATACAGCATAAATATGATTTTGTTTTAAGATTAACAGTTTTATACAAATACCGTTGATTATGGTCGTGTGCCATCATTTCAGTCTGCCTAGTCCCGCAGGTTTTGTCAGACAGATACTAGATCTTCGGCGGTCGGTCATTTATTCGATTGTGTCCGTTGCACAAGATCGGAGTATATCAAGCTAGAACATAAATATTGTTCAGTCTAAGTTATACGAGTATCAATATCGTCGATTTTTAGAAATAATACAAGCAAGATCGCTCCGGGCTAACGTGCATAAAGTTTCTACTTATCAGAACTTGGTTTTTTATAACCTACAAGACTTTTTTGTGATACGATAATCTTTGATTGTATAAAAATGAAATCATAGCGTAGAACAGGTTCTCGATCGATGGGACAATAAAAATAATCACAATAATTTCACATTGATTTTTATATGGAAAGATAGATCGCTTTGTTTGTAATTAACCATTAATGCATATTTAATCAGAAATAAAACCACTCAGACATGGTTTTCGCCATCTGCCTAAGTAGTTTGTCGCTTCTTCTAGATATCACAAACCTTCCCATTCCGTTCCGTTAAGGTGTACGAGTTTTTACTCTGGCAATTTCTTTTCCTGAGTGCAGTACTCTAAATTTACTGAGTATGGGGCATACTGATTTAAAAGGTTTACAGTTTGTAATTACTTTACACGTGGATCGAAGGTTGGAGGGACGATGTTATCTTTATTAAATTATTTATAGTTAAGATTCAACAAATTAATTTTCTTTCAGCTGGATTTCAAAGCTTAAAGGGAGTGGCTTTATCTTTGGAAAATTGATTTTTTAAGAAATCCATGAGGACTAATATCGCCGTTATGTTTTATAACAAGTTTTCAATCCCCATTTTATGTTTTCTTTTTTTCACCCACTTACATACAAGTTTAAAATATATCGCAGAAAGCGGCGAACCTACGCAGCGTGCCTTTGTGAAATCCGGAGTGGTAGACTCGACCAGCATCGCCCACTTGGTGGTGAGCAGGTGGATTTTGCATTTCCCTCCGAGATTTCCTTAAAAGAGAGATCGTACCACCTCGTGAAGGATGTGACTCCACTGCCCCACACTTTTTTTATATCGCCGTCTCGTGTTCGCATCGACGGTAAACAACGATGCGTCCTCCGCACGACCGTTAATGGAACGAGTCATGAGACAGGATCGGATGGTCCAGGCCCGATGTACTCAAAGGCAGGCCGCCCTGCTTTCAATTCAACCGCAGTTACTCTCTTTTCGTGTTGGGATGAAAGTACGGTAATGTGAATGAATTATAGGCTGGAAAGTGACAACCCACAAAAAAAAAAAAAAAAACTGATGGACCACCATCCATACATTTTAATGTATTTAGTTATATTCATATTTTGCATAAATTCAATAAGAAGATATTCATAAACCTGCGAACAAATGCACAAAAGGCGTGAAGTAATACTGACGGGAATCGACGATTTATGACAGGCAGGCATGACAGAAAAAACAAAA